ATTGTTCGTTCACCGATCTGAAACTGGAATGACAAACTCGAATGTTTCTCCTAAGTTAAAATAACATAAATAATAAGTTGCTCATGTACAGGAATGAATTGAACAAAAAGATAATATATTTCCTCAGTTCGAACCTGTGGCGAGGAAACGCAAAGTTACGGATAGACGCTCGCAAGGTTTCACTGCTGGTCTCAAGTGTGTATCCATCTTAGTAATGTAAGGCAGAACCAATTGTAAGATATTATCAAAGCAATCCCGATCAAGTTGATGGAATTGTCGAAATTTCTCTGGATCCTCTGCATTTAATTCTCGAACGAGATTGTTAAATACTCCTTGCGATTGTCTTCTTTGGATCCATCGCTTTGTCCACAACTTACGATGTACAGCTCTCAAACGTCTCCGTCGCTTTCTCAACAACAAAATCAATAGCAAAACTTTTTCGTCTTCTGAGGAACTATCATTATTGCTATCTGTGTTGGTGTCACTGATATTAGTGTCACTGCTATTAGTGTCACTGCCATCACTGCTATCCGCCATATTGTGTTTACATTAATTTAATGTGTGCATGCGTAGTGTCATCATTGTAGGAGGACTTGCTTTTCGTCGGCCGCACACTTGGGATTTTTGTTACTCGTGACAAAAAATATCAAACATGTTTGATATTTGGAATATCTGTCACGAATGACAAATGTTGTTCTTCGAAACTTCCGCGCACACGAGGAATTTTTGTCGATCCAACTTGTCACGAATAACAAGTACGCGCGGCAAGTACGCTAGTGTGCGGCGGGCTTAATTAAAGTCTTGCTTATTACGACAAACAATTGTGATATATCTTTATTATATAGGAATCTTGTCTGAAATATCATGTAACTTTGCTGTACAACGTCAAAACAACTATGGTTTTTCTGCTCTGGCATGTGATCAAACAATTGAGCAAACTGTAAACCGCGATTCGAAGACGAAGGGTGGTTTGACTGGAATTTCTATGAATCCGGGAGCGGTGCAAAGATGGATGCTATCACAATCGCAGAGAGCAGCCATAACAAGAAAGTGTAATTACATGGCGGGGTTGGAATATAAGCCAAGTTGAATTTGATTCGCATATTCTGCTATGAAGCTTATGGTTAGGACGGGTTGTTTCGTGTAAATAAATTTATAATTCCCTTAATGTTGGAGACATCCTCTTTTCATGCATTTCAGAAAGCGTAAAGACCTTCATTACTCCAAGTGCAAACGCTATGAGCAATGTGTTCAAGACGTACTAACTTCTATATCCCAAATGGCACATCCTTTTGATGTTGATCAAGAACATTTGATAAATTTGGCAAGTGGAGTAGAGTTAGAAACCACTGTGGCAGATCGACTTCTATCTGCAGAGCAACTGGGTGAGCGGCAGTTCTCAGAATTTTCTAAAAACAACTTGTTTTCCGACAATCCGGATATTTTCACAAAATTGGAGCGGAACAGCATTGAAACGTTCTCTGGAAGGAGGAAACAAGTACAGAGTGGCCAAAAAGGGAAGGAAAAAAGCATCAAAATGAACGAATTTTTGCCAAGCTTTTAGTCATAGCAAAAATCGTGAGGTCAATTTGAAGGAGGTATTATCATACAGTCTCGGATCGTTTCCTCTTTCACTTGCAACACCAAATGGAGGACTCGTAAAAACTGCAAAGTCTAAACTGCTTGAAATTTTGGAGAGAGAAGCAGACAATCCAGAAGTCGATATTCGCAGCTTTCACAACAATGCTCTTATAGTAGATGCAATGGCTGTCTTGCAAGTTATGAAAGGTAAATGTTAAAGACACGTTGCATGCACAGACCTTCTTTTATATATGCAAACACGACATATTCTCTTGAATTTAATAACGTAGACTTGTCTTTCTGTGTTGTAACTTGACATAAAGTGTTCTGTTAATTCTTTGCGCAATTCAGAGGCCTCTCATTTTAATTGCTTATTTAAGGAAAGTGGAAGACCTTCGGTGAATTATTTGACTCGATATTTCAATTTCTTCTGAAAGTCGCATTTCAATGTAATGCTACAAGATTGGACTTCGTCACAGATCAATATCCAAAATTGAGTATCAAGAACGCTGAAAGAAAGAGACGGGCCGAGAAAGGAGTTCAACGAATTCAAATTTTTGGTAAAGATCAGCCCGTTCCAAAGCAGTGGAAAAAATTCTTAAGTTGTGGAGAAAACAAGGAGTCCCTTATGATTTTTTTGTTTGAACATTGGAAAGGGTATAAATCATCTCAACTGACGCAAGTTGAAAATTTATATATTACTACAAAAGAAAAATGCTATGTACTTTCTTGTTCAGCTTTTGACGAGGACCCGGTTTTATGTTGTGAATGGAGTGTGCTAGAAAGCAATCATGAGGAAGCCGACACCCGTATGCTTTTACACGCCAAGCATGCAATGGGCACTAACGTTAATGTTATTATTAGGAGTCCAGATACAGATGTCTTCATTCTTTGTGTAGCAATGCAAAAAAACCTGGGTTCAAAGGATTTGTTTTTTATGACTGGTACTGGAAACAAATCTCGCACAGTACATATAAATGCAGTTACTGTCGCCATGAACGAAGAATTTTGTCGCTGCTTGCCAGGCTTTCACACGTTTTCAGGTTAGCATTTCAATGTAGGTATTTTCATGGGGGTGGTCAGAGAAATGGCTCCTTCTAATCATTGCATCATTTTCTTATTTTTTGCATATATTTTCACTGATATTATACTTCTACCAAGTTCTAAAATATGAGGGTAACTAATACTAAAGTATTGACGTTTGCTTTACATTTAGGAAGTGACTGCACGAGCTCGTTTTACGGAAAAGGGAAGGTCAAAGCATGGAAAACGCTAATTGCTCATCCTTGCTTTGTTGAGACATTTTCTCTCCTTGGTTATAACTTTCCTCCTGCCAACGTCCTTGTACGCGATCTGAACAAGTTCACTTGTCTACTGTATGGCGACAATACATCAAAGAATGCCGATGAATGCCGATACACAAGTTTAAAGGTGGAAAATGTTCGGATGAAGTATTGCCACCAACATGTGACAGCCTTCTTAGACACATTGAAAGAGTAAATTACCAGGCGGGTGTGTGGTGTCAGTCTCTTTTACCCCAAATGACTCTTCCTTCACCAATTGGTAACGGTTGGCAGTTTTCAGACGGAGACATTGATATCGTATGGATGACGCGTCCTCCAGCTCCAGACTCCCTTCTTGATTTCGTAGACTGTCATTGTAAGACTGGGTGTTCAAGCATGCGATGTTCATGTAGAAAAGCTAACCTAGTCTGCACAGACTTATGTTCATGTGTTAACTGCGAAAATACATCAGGCGAATGCGACGAAGACAATTCAATAGATGATTCAGACAGCGAAAGTACTGATGGGGATTTAGACGACATTGACCAATTTTAAATGCGGAATATTATACTTATCAAATAGTCTTTAATGCGATGTATGAAATTTTATATTTTTAACTGAAATTTGTGATATTTCCCACAAAAAACATTGATAAAAGTTACCAACTATGCATAAGAAGTTGTTGACGTCCGAGCAAAAATAAGCCTGATAGGAAACTGGAACTAGTAATATCACAGTAAATTAAATGAAGTATTAGGAAACAATGGCTGCGATCAAGTTTCAAAGCAGCAAAATTTGTTGATGTTTGATGGCAAAATGCTCATAAACTGCAGGTTTATACGCGTGACAACAAGTAAATTCTTATTCAGCAAATGAAAATTTATAGATTTATTTAAATTAAACTTAGTGCCCGAACGATGGCAACGGAATTGTTTTTCTAAGCGACTTTCGGTGGCAAAGAATACGGCCTATGTCTTGTTGACTGTTCCGACAGTGATGTGCAATTTACATATTTTTCTGTATGATATGAATAAAACAACACATTCCAAAAGAGCTATAGTACAAATTAATGATTATAAACAATTTAAAACATATGTAGTGGCATGCATTATAAGCAAAGCTTTGTACGATATACAAGAAGTTATCTGTTTTGAGTTACGCGCCATATATACAACATGCAACAAATACTGTGTATCTAAAATATCTGTCCAGTCGAGTATTCTCAAACTGGCAAAAAATGAAAGACAACAGCATACAGACCAAGTCTCACGCTTTTGGCGTGAGACTCACGCTTTTCGACGCAATCTCACGCAACCACGCCATTCAGACAAAATATCACTCTTTTTTTTAAATATTACAACCAGCCCATGTTTTTGAACCACCAAAGTCTATGCTAAAGAAAGCCAAAACTGCAACATGGGATTATAACAAGCTCCATGCTAAGAAGTGATGTTTTGCTTCACAAAACTTCTACTGTTGAGAAAACAAAACATGTTGATTGAACCCTTATTTCAATTACGTTGATGAAAACCAAAGTAGGTCGATGAATTTTTATTCATATTTTAGTTCTAGAAGTTCGGCCATCCGGGCCTCACTATTGCCCCTTCGGGGTGATTACATTTCTCACTCCATACAAACCAAAAACCTTGGCATCTATGCAACAGCAATCCTTTCTATTTTGAGTTAATCGCCGTGAAACTTACATGGCAATTCAAAAAAAAAGTCTCGGTTTCGTAGTTTTAAGTGTACGCCTTTGTCTTTAATTTGGTCAGGTTTGAGAGCCACAATTTGGTCTCTGTTTGTATACTCTCTAACGAAATGTGAAGTAACACCACATTCTTTGTTGGAAAATAGTGGTCTTCCTCCACACAAATCAAGTTTTTTCACAATCACAATATAACATACTTCGCACTGGCATGCCAGTAATTCAGCAGTGCTGCATTGACAGTCTGGCTGTACACGGTAAAGCCGAACAACGATACCATACTTGGTAGTTGAGCTGTCGATTTGCACATAATAATCATGGTGTCTTTGGGATCTTGTATAACTTTCCGAAGTGTATAGCCATGATTTACAATAAATCTGTTATAAAAAGTAGCTGATCGATTGGCAACGTCTCTGTTAATTATTTTTGCCACGGAAATGGTCTCAGATGGTGTGAGACGAACAGCTTGTCCATTTCCAAGTCCAGTAACAGCTCTAGTAAGAGCCCGTTCACTATTTGTAGGAATTTTGTCTTTGGAAAGTTTATTGAACAAGTGCCTTACTCTTGGACATGCGTCATTCACGAATACACTCTTTCCCAATACCTGGTAGTTTCTGCGACAGTATAAAAGTATCGCAAACATGTTGTGGAACATATTGGGTACCATTAAACATTTTCAGCAAAAAGTGGTTGTTGGCTTCGAATGCAAAGGCAGAAGTAGCCCAAAGTGGCCCGCAGTTCCTTACGCCTTCCGCTAAATGCGTCATAACGTGTACATTGAATGTACAGTTAGTCAAACCGTACAACTTTTCCATATTAGTTGCAAATTTAACAAGGCATGCGTTGGCTCGTGATAACATTTCATCACTAATTCTATTACCAAGTAATGTATGTACATCATGTACTAGCAAAAACAAATGCTCTAAATATTCACGAGGAAGCAAGGCATTTAGAACCACAAGGCCATAAAAAAGAAATGCTCGCCACTCCAACGCTTTCCAAAATTTTCGCTCTTTTATTGATCTAGGGGCTCTAGTTATTTCAGAAGGCGGGCATATTACAGACAAACATTCATCTAATAGCTCGACGTTTCTTCCCAAATAAAAGTTCTTTTCGTGGTTTCTCGAATGAAGCCAAAGATTGCACAGTTGACGGACTACTCCTTGGCACACAGAATGCATATACTCCGGTGTAAAGCCTCTTACTGTATCAAATGTGGGAAGAATGTCGATACGCAAAAGCCCTTTTACTCCATTAACTGCTTCTTTTCTCATTTCAGCTTCGAAAGCATATTCTGCTTGATTCTGTGACGTTCTTGAGCTTTGATGACCACGCTGTGGATAGTATCGAGTTGGGGGACCTCTATTACGGAGAACAGACACAACTTCATGTTCACACCAATCGCACCCGTACTTACCATTAAACTGCTTGCAGTTTCTCAACATTGCACGAGCTGGGCTGTCGCTGGAGCATATTAATGCGAAAACTTTGCGAGGTATAATTTCTTCACGCAAAAGAAATCCCTTTTTTTCCAAATCATGGCATTCGTTCACAAATGCTTCAAGAAAAGTGTTCATCTGTGGTTTCGTCGCACCAAACCACAAACCTGTAAGTAGAATATTCTTGGAACGAAGGTGAGGAGGTAACTCGTTTATCATACACTGAATAGGCCAAATAGAGTATTGTGATGACTTAAAAACAGGCATGCCATCTGCATTCCAAGTTAAAGAAATGTCATTTTTCGCCATAGCTTTATCCCTTATCAGGCTCTTATATAGTTTACCTGTAGTTACGTCTGATATAACAGTTGATTCAGTCAAAACTTCCAAATTCCTGTTGGTTAAATATTCATAAAGAATGGGATCAGACAGGAGTTGCTTAAGTTGTTCTTTTAGTGGAATATGAAGGAAAAAGGTGCCGTTCTTCATGCTGTTTTCGCGATTGAAAGGTGTATCACATTCATCACACTTTGTGCTTTCTGCGCTTGTTCCAATGTACGACAAACATGACTCGCAATAAAAATGAGCCTGCACAGTATAACAATTAATTTTTCAGGGAGGGATATAAACTGTAATTCCGTAACGTTATTTGGCGCTAGTTCTAATCCAGTTCGATCATTTTCATCCAGAATACAAGCCCGAAATATGCAGAATTCGAATAGTTTCACCACGTTTCTTCTTTAAATTGCACAAAATCAAGTTGAATTTTAAGATATTAAATGCACGAAGCTAACTACGTATTCCAGTCGAAAGTCGTTATAAAGAAAACCATATTAGAAAAAATTCAAGATAGTTTTCTTTTTACCTGAGATTCCTCCACTTGAATTGCTTTGTAGAACTTATACTTGCTGGATGGAAACGTGCTCGGCAAAATCAAACTCAAAATGTCGAGTAGATCAGTCAAAGCTGCATCTGTTAAATTGTTCTTTAATAAAAATGCGACGAGCAGGAGAACACTTTGAGACTTTGTTATAAGAGCACCAGGATATATTTCTTCATCACCATTTTCGATGTTTAAAACCTAAATACAAATTCTGAGTGTAAATCGGAATGTAGTAGCTATTATGGGAGGTGGGGGGGAGTTCATGTTCATATATTCATGTACTATAATCAATAATTAAAATGGATTTCAAAAGAAATTGATAAAATAGAACACACAAAAAAAATGAATATTAGCTCTCTTTCCCAATCCTTGATCTTCTGCCTACCCTGGTTCTACGTACTGTATGATGTTTCACATTCACCTGCAGTGCTTCATGTCCAAGGCCATTATTATTAAGCTGGAAATCAACATCAATTTTTCCATTCTCCTGAAATGCCTGTGCCTGTGTCTCTTGATCATGTTGATGAAATTGAATCTAATTTTTTAAATATATGTTCCATTGATTAAAGCGTTAATGAAACAAAATTTTGCCAGACTGTTTTCTAAATACATTACAATAACTATTCAAGCTCATCTAGCATCTTACAAACTATTTTTGTTGAGAAATAAAAGATGTTTACTGTGTTTGCATAGTCTTATCCAATCAAGGAGACCTTTGGGAGAACTCGGGTGGTTAGCACTATTTTCCACCCAGCAAACCGCCCTTTACTTTACACAATCGGAAATAAATTAAAGATGGCGGCTAATGGGAAAGAACCAAAAGCTAAAAGGAAAGCATGCATGCACTGGTGCTAGGTCGTTTTGAGATGGCGAGTAATTTTATATTTTTATAATACAGTTTTTAATATCAACATATGAAAATATTTACAGATAAATGTTGCAGTATAAATTTTCATGCAACCACCTTAAGTTATAAACTTATAATCCAGGCTGGAAAATATGTCGTTTTTCGACGATTGTGTAAAATATTATAAAAAATATTATATTGTGTATAATATTAGATTGTGTAAAAGATTATATTGTGTAAATTATTATATTTCAAAGTAAAGGGCGGTTTGCTGGGTGGAAAATAGTGCTAACCAACTCGGGTGCAGATCAGTGCAAGCCCGAGACAGAACGTTGAGGGTTGCACCTGCTCGAAAGTTCTCACAAACGTCTCCGAGGTTTGCATAAGCCAGTGCAAACATGAAAAACATCTTTTATTTCTTTTACAAAATAACAATAATGCGAAACAGACAAAACGTTCTAATATTCTTTTAACATGTATTCATGATCGACTTGCAAATTCTTTTAGATTGATTGATTGATTTGATTGGTTGAGCGCAGATTGTTTTTCAAAGGCTAATGCAAAGCAGCTCTGGACCAATCAGCAGACACGTTTCATTATGTTTATTTTATAATTATCTTTGTTACGCTGATATTGAAATTTTTTCATTATGCAAATTTTCTGGTAATGAAACACTTTGCATAACTAACGTTTGATTTGCAAATATTTTGAAGTGCATCAAATTTTCACACTCCTATCTGTCACGTATTGATTATTTTCTTGTACTAGTCAATAAATCTTTTAATTGTGTTGAGAACTGATGCAGTCTAAATATGACTATGCAATGTAATGTCACAAGATGATATAGGTATTTGCATAGAAAAGGAAGGTAGAAACATCTTTTATACCATTCACTGGCACAAGCTAGCTAACATGAAAATTAAGACATTTTAAGAGGTCAATGAAATGCAGTTTGCAATGCTTTATAAACACTTTGATCATTGTCTGTAATGTTATGTAACCTCATAGATTGTTGAAAGAGATAATGTATATTTATCAGATATAATGTATATAATGAAAGATATACTGTATGTGTATGAACACATGCACTTATAGGCTTATACACCATTGATAGACTGACTTGGACAATAGCAATAATTATAATATCTTTTTTATCTACATGAATTGAGCACACTGTAATACACGCAAGTCGACTTGAAGCACCTAGTTGAAAGCTCAACAAAATGAATAGTGTCAATACAGAGAAATGTCTAATCTAATATCGTTATCTATGTATATTTATTTTAAATCTATTTGCATCCAAATTGAATAATACAATCTGTACAACAAACAAAATTGCATGACTCGCCATTACATACAATGAGTATCAAAAAATTTAAATCAAAATTATATAGACAATCATGCATTTGACACATTGTGCTTTAAGGTTATATTTGAATACAGCAAGCTAGCAAGGCCCTTCACCTTTCCAGTTAATGAACTCCTCGAATAACAACTTCATGTTAAAATTAAATTTTTCACCACTGGGAATTAAATAGAATACAATCATTCTCAAGCATACAGTGTGCGAATTAACGGTGTGCAATGTGCAATTTGCACATCGTTTTAGCTAAAATGAAAACAATTGCACATCACTTTTTCAAACGATATGCAAAAAACTTCTTTATTGATTACTATCACATAAATTGAAGTAAGTTATTCTCTTTTCACTTTTGTCTTTCTTGCCATTTTTGTCGAAAGGTTGTAGCTACCAGCAAAGTTAATACAGTAAAAAAATAATTAAAGTCTTTCATGTGTTTCAATTCGAGTGCATCATTAATACAGTGAACAAAATAGATGGAAACATCAAATGCTGACTCGTTTGATTACTAGGATGATGGTCAAGTGGTGAATGTATTGCGCTGTAAAGTTTGCACAAAAAAAGAGGAGAGAATATCATACATTTTATACTGGGTCAGCGGTTGTAACGAAAAACACTGTCGTAAATCATATGAATTTGTTCACGTTTAAGAATATTAATTTAGCAATTAGCGCTATATAATAATTAACGTAACATCGATTTGATTATGCCTCTAAAGAAACACTTTTGTCAAAAAAATTGCACATCGTTTTTTCTGAACTAATTCGCACACTGCAAGCATATGATACAACACATGGAAAACCCCTGTTTAGTTTTTGGCTTCATTGAATTTGGTTTTGGTTAATTGGCAGGGAAACTTTATTTTAAATGCACTCAATTGCTAAAAGTGTAAAAATGCAATTTCAACATGCAAATTTTATTTGACAAGTACTTTCGCATCATTTTTGATTGTATGAATTCATTAATAGACATAATTATAACTGGACATTAAAGGAGCTCCTGTTTCTTGCTGCAAGTTTGCACAAAAGTAAAATTACAAAGCACAATGTCTACTGCAAAATTACTGACAAAAGTTCCATTTTTATTTTTTGAAGCACAGATATAAGTGTATCATGTAATACAATTAAAATTAATACTTCAATGTATTAATGCCAATTATGTTAGGAAAGGCAAGAGGTATGTTACACAAATGTCTGAACATATGCGAATGGAAACACGTCTAATTGTATAGTGTGGATAAAGTATGGGATAAAATTTTCAAACACTAACAAAACAATATTACCAGAAATAATATCTAAATGAAATTTTCCATACCATATCAGATGAAGTTGCTTGATCTATCTCCATCGTAGCACGCAACTGCTTTTGTCGTCTATATTTTGTTCTTCTTGGAAGATCAACAGTGGAATCAACTGCATATCGTTTGTATTGCCCTCTTGAGCCCATAAGAAAAACTTAAATTACAAAACCGCGAATACAAGTTTTATCAAAACGCTAAATTTTGACAAATTTTGAAGAATATTCATGACAAACTGCTCACGACGAAAGCACCAAGCGTTTGTTCAAGTCAGCGGTGAAATTACTACAATTAATACTTACCGCCATTACCACAGTAACATCAATGTTGATCTGACATTACCAAGGTGACAAAGCAAATTTCTTTGCCACTCAAGTAATCAAGTTCAAGTTGTTCTCAGCGTTTTGCAGCTCGCTGTTGTGAAAAGGTGACCAAGTGTGAAAGTTAAGAATGAAGTTTGCGATTTTCAATTTTGGAGACAATACTTTTGATATTGGCCAAACATGGATACAAGATGAAAATTCTACAACATTTGACAACGAATCCTGGCTCTTTACCCACGAAATAATTGTCAAGTGGCCCATAGACTTCAATGCAGCGAAACGAAAAATGCGAAAAAAATTGATGTAGATACAATCAAAACGGAAAGCGAAAGATATCCAGCAAGAATTTTAAAATTTGGAGGTTGGCGTTTGATTTTGATTTTTGAAATGCCACTGCAAAAATATAAATTTAAAATGTATAAATATTTCGAATAATCGTTTCTGTATAAACTAAATTTATAAAAAATGAAAGTGACAATATGGCGGACTATTAGATGACTTTGACACCATGGATTCATGCTTAGAGATGTATCTGAAAAGTGGAAAAACTTCAACTCCTAAAAGAGGAAAAGGTCAAAGAATCTCACAAAAGAATTATAAATACCATTCCGACTCCGATAAGGAGGATTATGAAGTCCAGTTTGGTTCACATATAAGTAAAAAAGTATGTTTTTTATCGTGATTGGAGATTACAATCTTTTTGGTATCACTTTTGGATTCCAGCTTTTGTAGAAACTGCTAAATATTGTACTAAAAAGGCGTTACTGTCTATATGATTGTTTTTATTTAGCCTCCTTCAAAGAAAAGAAAAGTCCAGAAAGATAGTTCAAAGAAAAACTCCTTATATTCCATGGTTAAAGAAAAGTATAAACAAACAGAGGTATTCATATTGTATTAATTACTTGATGCTTCATTAGTATTAATATGTCCCACAGAGTAAAAGATCATTGACCGGTTGTTTTTTAAAGGGACATATCTTAATGTTAAAAACTAACTTAGGGTTTGATTTGTTAAAATAGGGTTGCTAATCCTGTGTTAAAATTTTGTTTATTAAAGTAGAGTTCAAGCACTGGTCTAACTATGACTTAAGACATTTAACCTTGAGTTAAAAAGCGCGCGACTCCAAAAAGATCAATTAACAATGTGTGTTCAATCAAATCAACCAATCACAGACGAGAAGCCAGCTGCCAAAAAAAGTTGTTTTTCCTTTTTTATCCATTAAGTACTTTCTCGATAATGGAGCATGGCCATTTTTGGCTGTGATTCTTAAGTCTGTTTACAGCCAACGATAGTTAGAAGTAATGAGTTTTGAAATATTTTCGTGTTTCATAAGCTTTTGTCAATTAATCACAGCTAATGTGCGTTCTTCTCATGTTCAAATATGTTATTTTAGTTAGGCAAGCATTGTATGAGTACTCGTAATGCACTTTTTTGGATAAATTCATACGCTGAGTGAGAATATATATTTAAACATTGAAATAAAATAAGTTAAACAAAAGTATATGTTGTCGCTACTCGTTTCACAGCGCAGGGCAATCTTCTCGGGAATCTTAAGCATTTTGATTAATATAAATGTTTGACTGATTTTTTAAAAGTTTGAAACAGTGCAAAATGAAGAAGACAACTTAAACGAGAATCGTTCCGTAAGTATATAAACTATTTGCAGTTCTTAGCAGTTGATGTTGCCCAGATAGAGTAAGTTTTGCTTTCTTATTTAACGTATTCGAGATTTGCCTGGTGAAAGGGTATTGTTATTATAAATGCCCTAAATTATTGTTTCTACAATGCTTTGTTTACAGGACAGTACATCCTTTTTACAGCTAAAAAAAATTGAAAATCGTTTAAAAGAACTTTCCGAAGAATGTTGAAACTTAAAGATACAGACGAAAATTTAGCTGCGTTGATGAATTCTGTGAAAGGTAAATGTTGGATTAGTAACAAGAACTAGCAATGTTTTCAACAATTGAAATGTAAGTTCTTTCATTTTCAGAATTACCCATTGTTGTCAAAAGCCTGGAAACTTCAATTAATGAACTCCAGTCAAGCAGTACTCATTCAGTCTTGCCACCTGTCAACACTGATTTACCAAAACACCTGTCCCCTTTATGCCTTAAAAGCTCTTGCGATGCACCTACGATTGAGGAAAATGATAATGCTGGCGACGGAGTGGAAGAGATGGTAAGAATAGTGCCTTCTTAGTTAAAATAGAAGTCGTCTATATGCACAATGCCTCAGCACAGTTCCGTAAAAAAAAGGTGTATATCTATAATGTCCAGCTAATATCATTATATGCAGTATTGGAAATTTAAGAATATGAATATAGCTACAGGGTGTATAAAAAACGGAGCAGTTATGAAAACGCTGCTAAAGTTGTAAGTGTGAAAAATTTGCAAAAGCACTTGGTCAAAATAGTAAATAAGACTTTATATCTGAAGGTAAAGTTTTGGTAAATAATAGAATTTTTAGAATAAAAATTGTGTTACCAAAGCTTTTTTGATCTTGCGGATGATTTCTTAAGCGACAATTTCCTAACTGTTCAGTTTTTTTGGTAGCTACACCCGTATAGCAATCAACATATCGGTATTTTTGTGCGTAGTCAGAGATGCCTTTTTTCCTTATATACTACTCAAACTATTTTTTAATTGTCTTTTACACACTCATCAAATCAAAAAATATTTCCCTTTTCCCATCTTCCTTTAAAGAGTATCCTTTCAAATGCATTATTTCATTACTTTTATTTGTTTTATAAGAATACGTTTTTGGTCTTGAAGAACAAAATGATACAATACATTTGTCGTTCTCTAATTCATTAGTAACGTCACCTAGATAGTTACCCGTTATAATATCATTATTTCCATCAACACTAATGTAAATTATCAAATCAGTATTATAATATAAAACTTTATTGTTTAACTTATGTAATACTACTTAATAGCTCTAATATTGCATAACTTATTACAAACGAAGCTATAACAACATTACGATTAGGTAAAATTGACAAACATGTTTCATTTTTTTTACCTTGATTTTTATAATGGTAAATTTCATATATTTTAATCATTCTATAACCACATTCAGTAGCTTTATTTATCTCAACACTAGTTCATGTAGCCCTTAGTGCGCTTTTGTGATCATTATGATTACATTGTTTATTTTTTTCCCTAGCACAAGTGTAACACAATGTAAATATCAATTTATTATTAATGCGTAAGGGTAAAACAGAAATAGAAATGTGTTAGGGGGCAATATACAGCATTTAATTAATCCAAACATACAAGTAACATCAATATTTAAACATTCTTCCTCTAAATATATTTCTGGATGATTAAGAGGATATTCATTTATTTTTAAAACATATCGGTGTAATGATGTAAAGTCAATATATTTAATCGTTTCATTTTCCTTCACTTCATAATATAAACATGAAAGTGATGTTCTATCACCATAAAATGCATCATGTGGATGTAACAGTAACACATTAAAAAATTCCTCTTTCCTATATTTTATTTCACTAATATTTTTATCTTTTAAATATTTACATTCCCATATTTCGACTACATTATAATTATTATTAATTGCTTTGAAAATTGTATTGTTTTGTTTGCATTCTTAAAAAATACATTTTTTCTTTTTTCAGTGTATTATAATCATCATTATTAAAACATTTACTGGTATGTGACGAATAGTAACTGAATATTTCATCAGCCTCATCTTGAATCTCTGTATTGTTGGAGGAAGTTGGTCTAATATGTTCGAGCCAAGCAGAGGAACCAAGGGTTTATGATCAGTTTCTATCACAAAATCCATTCCTAAAAAATAATCATTAAATTTCTCACAAGCCTAAGTTGTTGCCAATGCTTCCTTTTCAATCTGAGCATATCGTTCTTCGGTAGTTGTCATTGATCTTGACGCATAAGCGACTGCTTTCTTTTCTCCTTTCTTATTTAATTGCCAAAGAACTGCTCCTATACCATACGACAATGCGTCGGCTGCCAAAACAGTTCGCTTCGTTGGGTCATAATAGGCTAAAACTGGTACTTAATCCAGTTTTCATCTCTTCAAAAGCTTTTTGTTGAGCACCTCTCCACTGAAATTCATTCTTTGTACTCAATAGATCTCTAATAGGTTTTGTTTTTTCGGACAAATTTGGAATGAATTTCCCCCATTGATTACCCAGTCCCAAAAATCTTCGCACATCACTCACATTTTGTGGCACTTCCATACCTTGTACTGCTTCAATCTTTTCTGGGTCTACTTGAATTCCATCTTCACTCACTATATTACCAGAAAAGTTTGCCATCTTCTTAGCAAACTCACACTTCTCAAGATTTAGTGTTACTCCAGCATTGTCAAATTTTTTCAGCACAGCTTTCAGTCTACTCTCTCGTTCATTCTTCATCTTTCCATGAACAAGTACATCGTCAATTATTACTTGACCATCTTCTTTCTCCAGCATCTGTTTCATCCTTTTCTGAAAATGCTCAGGTGCAGATTTAATACCAAAAGGCATTCTGTTGAAACAGAATCTTCCAAACGGAGTAATAAATGTAGTTAACAAACGAGAGTTTTGTTCTAGTTTTTCTTGCCAGAAACCAGAGTTAAAATGTAGCTTCGAAAAATATTTTGATCCTCTTATTTCTGCCAAAAGACTTTCGATCTTCGGAAGTGGATAAATTTCTCACAAGACCCACTCATTTAACTTTGTGAAATCACAGATCCTTATTTTACCATCTGCTTTTGGAACAACAACCATACCAGCGCACCAATCGGTAGGAATATTAACCTTTGAAATAACGCAAAGTTTTTCCATGCGCATCAATTCATCATGAACTTTCTTTGTCATCGTTAAAGGTATTCTTCTAGGTGTGGTTAACGCAAATGGGATAACACCAGGTTTTAATTCGATGTTGTATTCTCCATCTAATTCACCCAGACCTTTAAACAAGTTTGGATAAGTAGCCTTTATTTCTTCTTCCATATCACTTGCATCATTTGACTGAATCGCTTCGACTGTCGCTATTAGATTAAGGGCATTGATAGCTGGACGTCCCAACAATGGCTCTTTCAAATTTTTCACAATATAAATGTCTTGCTCTGTTGTTTTTGAAGTAGCAGTTCTCAATGTTGCTCGAAATTTTCCCGTTCCCTTTACCATTTTAGACAGAATCCCATCACTGCCACCATGTAGAGTTTTTATTAGTGCTCCTCCTATCTAAATGTCCTCTATATATATACATACATTATAAGCGTAAGTAATATTCAGCAGGAAGTGATGTCTACACATTACCAATTTTAATGAACCCAATTGTTGGATTCAAAACGTTTCCGGTTCTTTTAATTGAATATGTAAATGATAATTATAGTTTATTAACCCAATTGGATGTCAGATGGGAGCCGATGGACATTTTGGCGTCAAACTGTTGTCTGAATAATATCAAATGAACTTCTCTGCCAAGTAACGCTGTAAATTCTGTAAGTAGTTAGATGAGTTTATTCCTATTTTTTGCATTTGTTAGAATTATTTGTAATTATTTAGTTGAACCGTACTTAATAAAGAAATGTGCATCTCGAAGTATCAGAAACTTGCCAGAGAATTGTAGAGCCCTGTCAAATTCTACAAAAAGTTCAAAGAATTTATCCCTATCAACTGTTATAACAATGAAGCAAGGAGCGTAATGAGTAATGAACAAACAAGGCAAACCAGCCCCGCTCTCACCAGGGAAGAACCTTTCTGAACAACTACGAAGAAAACGATCTGCTGGAAAAGGGGCAGTTACAAAAAAGATGGAGTTAACTGAATCAAAATTGAGCTTTCAAAGCTTGAGCGAAGCAAACATTAAAGCACAAGAATTCAACGAAGTTGTAAATAGAATTTTACAACACCTACACCTTATCATGCAACAATAGAAGATGATTATGATCACCAAAACTCAAACGAATACCTTCAAATTAAACAAAGAATTGAAAATTTTCAAAGGACTTTAAACGAATGGCTCAGAGAGTTTACAGAACAAACATCGATGTCAGAAGTTGAGATAAAGCCAATTGACTCCGCTGTCGGACAAAAGAGCCGTGTTAGATCACGTAGTTCAATCACAAGTTTATCTCTAGATCCAAAGTCTGGTCAAATACCCCAAGTGGAAAAGTAATGGTGGCAGCATAGAAAGCAGCTTTGATAGTTGAAGCAACTGCTTTGGAGGAACATCAATCGATAGACGAACAAGAGCTTCATTTAAAATACAAAGAGTTGAATCACTGACAACGACAGGAAGAAGAAATGCGCCTGAAACAAAGGAGACACAAACTACAGATGAAGGCTGAAATAGCGAAAGTTAAAGCAGAAGTGGCTTACAGTGTAGCTGAAATTCGTGGAGCTTTTGCCCGATTGTTTTCACGAGTAAATCAAACAGATTCTCATAAAATAGGGCAGAATTTTCAACAAGGGAGGATGCGAAAAGAAAACATTGAATACAATAAAGTTCCATGTTGGCAAGCAAATGGCGACAACCACACCCAACCATTACTGCTAACTTCTCAACCACTCCCTCATGATGCTGGTGTAAATGCGCCAACACAAGTTGAAACTCATAAAGGACCTCATGTTTCGCAGGAACAACCAACATCTGTTGTAAGGCAAAAGCCTTTTAAAAGGGTCACGAATTACACGCATCAAAGATTGGAAGTTTGGATGATTCAGAACTAGCAAAAAATTTCTTGTACAATATGTTGAATATGCAAAATCAACAGCAGCAGCAAAGTCAATGGATATTGAAAATGTAACAGGCTGGGGACAATGATTTCTAGAAGATGCTTGGTCAACACCAACAATGGGCTCTTTCAATGTCACTACCTAACGCTCAAGGACCAACATTTGGTGGAAATTCTATTGAATATTGTCATTTTATACGATTGTTTAAAAATCCTATTGAAGCGAAAACAACTAGCAGTAATACACATTTATATTATTTAGTTCAATACACATCTGGTGAGGTTCTGGAGCTTATGCGAAGTTGCTTGTCAATGGTCTTGAAGAAGGATATCTGGTTGCAAGGAAACTTTTGAAGGTGCACTTATCGTCAAAATTATAGAATAACTGCGGCCTACTTACATCGAATAATTGAGGTACACCTAATCAGAGCTGAAGATGGCAAAGCACTTTGAAGACTCTCTGTATTGCTTATCAGCTGCAAAAACACACTTAAAGAAGTAGGTTACCTCCACAAACTTGACAATTTGGATAGTTAGCAAAATATTATCAGTAAATTTCCTTATTCTATGAGACAAAAATGACATGACATAGCAGACGATAAAATAAGTAATAAGAATAGAGAGGTAACTTTCGAAGACATCGCAAGATTTTGTTGAGGTGAAAGCTAGAGCATTAAATCATCCTATTTTCATCAAGATTTATAAAGATTCAAAAGATAGAATTGCTTAAAAGGGAAGTCAGACCCCAAAAAAACTTTTTATCAAATGAAAGATTTTATTTTTACAAACCATATTCCAAAGTTTGAAAGCTCCAATCAAAATTATACCGGAGATATGAAACCACAAAATTATGAAATTTTGCTGTAAAAGCTGCAGCCATTGTATACATGCGAGCGAAGCCGCGATCGAGCAGCGGCTTCCGTTCTTGACGTCACTGCGCGGTAAGGAACTTTCAATCAACATCACATAACACATAATCATTTGTGAAAGCTCTCTGTATTTATTATTTTAAACTTGCTTAATAAATAACGTGATGGATACGAATGATTCATACGAATTTTCAAGTGATCACTCTGTTGTGAGTGATACATTTCCGGAAAATGAGCAAATCATGGCGTACGAAAACATGATTCAGCCTTACTCATATGAACCGGTTGAAACCAACTTGCGCGAGAAGACGATTCGCAAGGAACGAGTGCGGAGTCTTCAATTGAATCTGGCTCAAATAGACTTCAAGATAAGTACTGGTAATAGTTATCTACAAATATTTGATTTTTTTTTTCATTAAGTGTACGGAATATACGCCAAAGTCAAATCCGTAAATGACTTTCTTCTTTCAAGGTGTACATGCGGTCATTGTCAAATAATGGACAGACATGAAGAATGTATATGTTGCAAAGAGATTGCTGCTTGCAGGGATATTAATGAAGAGTCAGCTGAATTCGAGGGTATTGATGTTCCAGAATTTATCACTGACAACCCTGTATTCCAAAATTTATGTTTAAATTACTGGGTATTGAGATTGGCGTGGAGTCAATACAAGCAGCAGTATGGGAAAAGTGCTTTTGAAGGACCAGAGCATAAGAGGCAAAGGCATGTTGCTTACAGACAATTTGTAAGATGGTGTTGGGGAATTTTGGGAAAAGAAATAAGGAATCCTTTGCCATCTTGTGCTGTTTGTTGTATTCGGGCACATTTCCCTCCACCTAGTCTAGAAGAAGATTTTGTATTTAAAGGTTTTGAATTTGCTGATGAGTGATGCAGGTATAGTTTCATTATTTTTTCTTGCCCATCCTTGACCTATGAGCATATATCACTTCCTCTTTACTTGGCTTGGGTACATTAACAATGTTTTTGGGAATGTTACTTAACCTTGCTGTTAGAATTTGATGGTCATATGAGGCAACATTTTCCATTAGGCTTTGCACAAAGGAAAATGATTTGTTCTCTGTTATTGGTTTGGCTATCCATTTATTACGGCCTTTTGGAAAAACTATTTTGTATCTGGAATTGCCATTTTTCAACTGAGCTTGTTTTCTTTCAGTGTTTGAATTATGATCAATCACAGCCAATTGGGTTCTTGCAACCATGCCATTGTATGAAAAATGAAGGCGTTTTGGAACATATTTCAATAGTAATGAATGGTACACTTCCAGGTTGCCAGTGTGATGGAATTCTGTAAGTTTTGTTATGTCTTTCAACAATTTCTTGTTCAAAACGACATCTTCTAAGGCAATGTAGTCTGCAAACCCTGGTGTTAACCATTTTGTCTTTCTTTCTCTCCTCCTAGAAAGCTTCTCGTGTGAACACTTCCTAAAATACTTACCACTTTTCCATCGGTGTATGTTTATAACATGATTCAAAATAGACACCCACTTTTCACATAGAATATCAGCGTTTCCTTCACATGTTTGCGCACACCACCACAGATGGTTCGACACTGACTGAATCCACTTTTGAAGGGAAGCATGTTTTTTTGCTTTTTTGGTAAGCTTTTTTGTTATCCATTTAGATAAATGCCATACATCATATTGGTGAATAATATGAGGATATTTTTTCTGCAGCTCTGATGTTATTTGGATGTGGCGATCTGTGGTCAATGATCTAATTTGGATTTTTTCACCCATGACATTATTCAAAGATCTCTGGCAACCTTCATTCTCCATTGCATTGGAAGAAGACACTTCAGATACCTGTATCAAAGAAAAATCAACAATTTTCCCACTGTTTTCTTCCATCAGCGTGTATGTGCCATACTTTGCATTGTGACCTGGACTATCACATCTTCCATCACCACATAAATCTATTGGTATGTCTGCCTTGGTATATTTTTCTATTATAGTTTTTTGCTGTTTTCTATAGGTGCTATTAATCACTGGAAAGACAATTTCATCCTGCATATTATAGAACTGGTCCTTGTTCACAAAACCTAAGTTCAAAGCATTTGCAAATTGCTTCAATGGCTCATATGTTGAACCAATAAAGATTGTTGCTGCTGGTATCAAAACATTTCCAGCTGGTTTATTGTGCAACATAGGCTGTGACTTCCACTTGAAGATATGATTTTTGTGGCAAATTGCCTTGTACATCACCATGCTACCCACTGTAGATTTTTCAATCTCACATATGGAAGAACAAAATTTGCATGATATGAACAACTCATCTAGCTTTCTTTCAAAAACAATGAATTTTCTCTCTGTGTTTTGCTTATCATCATCCGATTCATTGCTGGAACTTGGGGAAGAACACACATAATCTTCATCACTACCATCTGACAGATCACTTTCAGTTGAGCTTTTATCTATGGTATTCACAGTCTCCTCATGCTCTGAACAATTATCTTCCCCACATGATGCATTCTCAATCTGGGTGATGTCATGCATGATTGGTGGTATAACAACAGAAGCTAATGGTAGGTTTGACATTGAATGTGCACTATTGTTCATGGGACTAGAGGTTTTTGAAAAGTTACTGTATTTTATTTTCCTTCTTGGCTTTTTCCTCTGTGCCAGTGTCTGAACTGCAATACTGCGTGTTGAAATCTTTTCACACTGTGTTTCAGCATCAACACTACTTGGAGTATCACTATCACATAGTACTGCCACACTTCTTCCAGCAGAAGTATCTATTTCTGGCTCTATCTCAGTCATGGTCATGGACAATGTGAGTGAAGAGTCTTCAGCATCACTGGGTTGTTCAAGCATACTGGCTAATTCCTGCACATTGTGGAATTTAGATTCATTTAATTAAAAAATGTTTCAAGTGTAATGTTCAAAAGAAAATTTTAATATAATGATCTCACTTATATATATCAATACATACTTATTCATGCTCAAGATAAATAATATCAAAAATTATTCTGTAAAAATAACATTAATGGGCTACCTCTTGCATCGCTTTTCTTTTCTGCCTCTTGAGGATTCCCGCTCTGGTTTACGCTTTAGAAAGGGGAATATTGAAGGGACACTACCGGGTTTTAATGCTTTTTTTGCTTTCATTCCAAATAAATCTTTCAGGGAACCTTCAAAACAATCTGGCGTGAAATGCGCTGCACACATAGCATGAATTAGGTTTAGGCAAATTATCACGTCGAATTCGCCCTAGCCACATTTTACGAATATATTGATCATTTGGCAAGCGATGGTAAGATATTTCACTTCCTTTGGTTTTTGAACAATTAGTGCAACCGGTACCATACAGTAAGGCATATTTATAAAGAAAGGAAAATAAATATCGAGAGAAATACGCATCGAAGACTTTGTGTTTGTTTTGTATATGAAATTTTGAGCGCTATCGCGCTCACCGCGCAGTGACGTCAAGAACGGAAGCCGCTGCTCGATCGCGGCTTCGCTCGCATGTATACAATGGCTGCAGCTTTTACAGCAAAATTTCATGATTTTGTGGTTTCATATCTCCAGTATAATTTTGATTGGAGCTTTCAAACTTTGGAATATGGTTTGTAAAAATAAAATCTTTCATTTAATAAAAAGTTTTTTTGGGGTCTGACTTCCCCTTTAAGATCCTAAAGGTCCTCGAGGTAGGTATGCTTTCTGAACAATTGGAAAGTACGCTGGAAACGATCAATCAAATATGCTTGAACTCGAAACTGGAGCTGAAAATTTTCTTAGATGTCCAATGTGTCATGGTAATCATCGGTTATCTCGATGTGATATGTTCAAGAAAGAAACTTTTGAGAACAGAAAAGGAATAGTGCAAAAAAAAGGGTCTGTGCGATAATTGTTTCCTATAAGGTAATATTGCTAGAACTATCCCAAAAGATATTTCCTATAAGGTAATATTGCTATAAGGTAATATTTCCTATAAGGTGTACTAGCAATATTTCCTATAAGGTAATATTGCTAGAACTTGCCCAAACTTGTTTTAAAGGCAGTGGAGAAGGTATGTTGTAGAAGTAAAGGCGGTGTAGTAGAAGAACAGGCATGGTGGTGGGATCAACGAGTCAGCGAAGTGATTGGCGCGAAGAAGTTGGCATTTAAAAGGTGGAGAAAGTCGCGGACTGAAGCAGATAGGATCGATTACATCCGGTTCAAGAAAAAGGCGCGAAAGGAGGTGGCTAAAGCGATAGAAAGGCATCAGAAAGAGCTCGTAAAAATGCTGGAGAATGGACGAAAAGCGTTGTTTAGAACTGCTAGAAGAAGCAAGAACGAGAGGAACGATATTTTGGGTGCTCCCAGCGTGCAGAACCACGATGGGGAGTTGAAGGTGTTATTGGAAGACAGGTTAGAAGTGTGGAGGGCGTACTGTGACCGTTTGATGAATGTAGAGAATGAGTGGAATGGAGAAGTTGAAGCGGATGAAGTTTGGGGCCGTGGAAATAGTGACTGTTGATGAGGTGGCGGAAAGATGAAGAAAGGAAAGGCGAGGACCGAGTGAAGTGGGTAGCGAAATGTTGGACAATGAACTATGTGTGAGAGTTGTGTAATGTAGCGAACGAGGTTTTGAGGGGCTCAAAGATGCCGAGTACATGGAGAAAGAGTCTAGTGGTCCCGCTGTACAAAGGAAAAGAGCAGCGCGGTATGTGGGAATTACAGGACTATTAAGGTGATGGAGCATGCGTTGAAGATAGTAGAAAGAGTGTTTGAAAGAAGGTTGAGGAAGTTGTTCGGATGGGGAAGAGCAGTATGGATTCCTACGGGGAGAGGAACGACGGATGCGTGTTTTGTGTTGAGGCAGCTGCAGGAGAATTTTGGAGAAGGACAGAGAATTGTATATGGTGTTTGTAGATTTGGAGAAGGCGTTTGATAGAGTTCCGAAAAGTGATCGAGTACGCGCTGCGTAAGAAAGGTGTGACAGAGAATATGGTTCGGGCAGTTATGGAGACTTATGAAGGTGTAGAGGCGGTGGTTACGGAGGAAGGTGTTATATCTGGTGTTTTTGAGGTAAAAGTTGGTGTTCATCAAGGTTCAGTCTTGTCGCCGTTACTGTTTGCTTGTGTGATGGATGTACTGACAGAGGAAGTGAGAAGAAAAGGGATGCTGGTGTTTGTTGTATGCAGATGACATTGTCTTGGTGGCGGAGTCGAAGCAGAAAGTGATGGAATGGTACCGAGAATGGAAAACGGCAATAGAAGTCAAGGGACTGAAAGTGAATGAGGCAAAGACGAAGGGCATGAGATGCTCGAGGCAGGTGGAGGTGAAGGACAGTGATAAATGGCCATGTGTGTGTGGGGGAAAAGAGGAATTCGATAATGTGTGGAAATGCAGTAAGTGGGTTCATGGAAGATGTTCAGGTGTCCGTGGTGCATTGACAAGAGTAATTGATTTTGAGTGCGGGACGTGTCGAAGTGGTGGACGAGTCGCGATTGAACGGTTTGAACTGGGTGACGTGAGTTTGGAAGGTGTATCGGAGTTTAAATATCTGGGCGATGTGTTAAATGATGGTGGAGGGTGCGAGCAAGCGGTGAGGAACAGAGTTCAAGCAGCGTGGTGGAGTTTTAGAGAGTTGTCGGGAATGTTGTGCGGAAAGTCGACTTCGTTGAAGCAGAAGGGAGAATTGTATAAGGCATGTGTTAGAAGTGTTTTGGGATATGGAGCAGAGTGTTGGGCGCGAAAGCAGAGGACCTGAGAAGATTGGCGTCGACGGAAAGGAGAATGCTTAGGATGATGTGTGGTGCGTTGATGGATAGGATTCGAAGTGAAGAGATTAGAGAAAGAGTTGGTGTTGAGTGTATCGAGAATTGGGTAAGACGCCAGCGTTTGAGGTGGTTTGGGCATGTGGAAAGGAGGGAAGAAAGTGCTGAAATTCGTAGAACGTTGCATATGAATGTTGATGGAGTCCGCAAACGAGGTAGACCGAGAAAGAGATGGATGGATGCTGTGAACAGTGATATGAAGGCGATGGGTATAACGAGAGATATGGCGAGAGATAGAGACGTTTGGCGTGGAAAAATTCATGGACCGGTCAACCCCCCTGGCGGGGATTAATACTGGCCGGTATACAAATGTTGTTTGTTTTCTTTGTTTGTTGCCCAAAAGAGCTTTTGCAAGTATTTGGGATGTCAAGAGAAGCATTCGCATCCTATAGTTGAGAACTTTGCTGTGGAGAGCCCTTCATTACATAAGGCTGTTCATTACATATGGAAAGAACACTAGCTATTAAGCCCATTAATGTAGACAAAATGATCTTTGCGGAAAAGGAGATAGTGAGATACGTTCAATCTACAAGTTTTCAAGAAGAGCTATCTAGTCTTGGCAAATCAGTTGTAACGGCTAATGCCAACTTACTGTATCAAACAAAGACGATCTCTATCAAGAAGTCAAGCAGGATTTACAAACTTGACCCGCAAATAGATGATGATTTGTTGTGTGTTGGTGGACGACTCAGAAATGCACCTCTTTCAAAGGAAGCTAAGAACCCTTAGATTCTACCAAAGAGCCATCACATTTCAATATTGAAAGTCCACCATTACCACCTTATATCGGGGCATTCTGGTTTGGAACACGTTCCCTCCCTCGTTCGAGAAAGATTTTGGATCATTGGAGCAAGGGAACCTTGAGAAGAATTTTATACAGATGTGTCAGTATCAAGAAGCGACAAGCACTAGTCAAAAGTGGCAGACCTCCCAATTCATTGAGTAACACAAGATCGTCCAACTTACACCTTTGTTGGTGTAGATTGTTTTGGTCCCGTAACTATAAAGCGTGCAAGAAGTTTGGTGAAAAGGTACGGAGTATTATTTATGTGTATGACAATACGCGCGATCCATCTGGAAGTTGCGTATAGCTTTGACACTGATTCCTTCTTCCAAGCCATGCACCAGTTCATCTCTCGAAGAATTTTGTCAGTGGTGAGAAAGAACTTTGCATTGCGATATTGGCTTGGACAAATACACCAATTTCTTGTACAACGTAATGTGAAATCCATTTTGTTCTTGTGCAAAGCCATTTGTGATTGCCCTATTAATAGTTTTATTTGTAATTTTTTAGCTTATAAAATATATTTTTACACACCTGCTATTCGTCAATCTGATCTTCTTAATTCAGACTCAAAAATTTCACTGTAATGTACTCTTTTTAACCCAAAGTTCTCATCAGACCTTTTTTGTCCAAGAAAAATTCCATGATAAGCCATTTCTTTAGAATATTGGTCTCTGAATAAACTAAGTAGCCTCATGCAATATTGCTTGTCGCTCAACATTATTCACAAAATCTGGTGAGGTCAACATACTGTCGGTGACTCCGGCAGGTAATTCTGCTTCATCCTTGCTCTATTCATCTTGAGAAAGATATGCTGAAGATTGATCTTTGTAAATAGGCATTATTGTGCCATAACTAACTTCATGGACAAAATCATGTAAACTGCAAAGCCAATTTACATCTACAAAAATTCCTTCATCTTGATACAAAGCACTGTTGTTTACTAACCAACAAGCAGCTTGCATTACTTTGTTTGGTCTAACATTCAAAGATAAAGCAGAACTTTTATTCTGTAATCGTCATTTCAACTGAACTTTTATTGTTCCGGTATCATCTGAAAGTCTTGGTAGCATTTACACAGTATTGTTCACATCAGCTGACATGTTAACTACATCTCCCATTATCTTAAGTTAACCACCTCATGGAGCTTGTAATATCTTCTGAAAGGCCAAAAGAGGAACAATGAGTCGAGACTCGAGTTCAAGTGAGATTTTCTGGGATTTTCATTCCGTTTGCAATGGCGCAAGGTGGAACACTGTACTTTTTGAAATGGTTTCAACAGGTGTTTGAGAACAACTGCCGAAATGCATAGTGTTTCTTTCTAGCTGTAAATAACGGTTCCTTTGAATTGTTGGGTTAGTTTTCTGGTTAAAACAGTTATTTTAAGAACTATTACATTGTTATTATCAACATTCACCATGGTATTTGCTATTTTGAAATCCATCTTTAAGTTTGTCAACACGACAAAGTCTCTGTTTCATTATTTAAGAAAGCGCTATAGTGGTGATCAGGTTCGTGACCTGAATATATTGGTGAGACTTATGCCCGGCGCACACTAGAGCTCTCAGCTGAGCTGAACGTCACTTGTAGCTCTTGGCGTAAGCCGTTTCCTCAAGTGTGCTGTGTCGTTTTTTGTGATTCTGGTCACACGTGCTGGCGGCGTCGGATATTCAACATGTTGAATATTTTTGGCAGGAGTGAACATTGCCTCACAGTGTGCGCGCAATCTGAGTTGGCAGCTCAGCACTTAACAGCTAATGCACATGCGCAGTTTGCGTTGTTTTTATTATTACACTACTAACATGGCGAATAAACGAAACAAACGACAGCACCATGGCAAGCACTAGTAGTAGTAATGAAAGCCATGATTCGAGTTCAAGCTCGTCTGAAGACGAAGAGGCTTTGCTTTGCTTATTATTGCTGCGAAGAAAACGAAGACGCTTAAGAGCAGCCTGTCGAAAGACCTGGGTAAAACCTTGGATTTTGCGCAGGCAAACACAAGGAGCAAGTGAGAATATTGTTCGTGAATTGAACTGCGAAGATCCAGAAAAATTCAGGCAATATCACCGACTTGACAGAGACACGTTTGAAGAGGTTTTGACGATAATATGTCCTTTAATTGAGAAGAAAGACACCCACCTTCGGAGCGCTTTAAAGCCTATCGAAAGACTGTCCGTGACATTACGTTTTTTAGCAACAGGTTTGTCCTTTTTGAATTTGTGTTACTAGGCCGTATAATTTGTCCTTTATTAGTTGATGAATTTGTATAAAGTGAAATAATATCTATAGGTGAAACATTCAGAAGTCTTTCTTTCCAATATCGAATCGGTGAGAGAACAATATCTGGAATTGTGGAAGAAACCTGTCAAGCTTTGTACGAAGTTCTAAAGGGCAAATATTTAAAGGTATAATATTGATTTTGTTACATGAACAACTATAACACTGAAAAAAATACTTTTACACTGTTGGGCTTGACATAAAAAAGTTTCGACAAAATTGTTTGTCTACAGAGATCATTTAGTAGTTATCATCTCTGTAAGATGCACTGTTCTCCCCATAAATTGAAGGTGGTGGGCTTGTCAACATACCGGGTTGCATGACGGGGTGGAAGTAGTTTCTCTGGGGTTGTGTCACTGTTTGGGTTAGGGAAGGTGGCATCATTGTTTCTAGGGATAGTAATCCAGCTTGTGCTTGGAAAATAATGTTGCTTATTTTGTGCTGTGCTAAGTGGCCTGTTCGACTGTCTAATTCAGACAATGCTTGTGCAACATAATTTCCAAAAGCTTCAAAAATTGTATTATTCTTTTTTTTTCCTTCTCGTCGTCTTTTATTCTTGTTTTCAATTGACTGTGACAAATTTTGTAGCAAGTGAAACTCTTCTTCAGCCTGTTTTCTTTTGGATGAGGTTTGTTTTCTAAGTGGTTCATTTGTAGATGTTGCAGGCATTAGGTCATTACCTACTTCCTCTGTTATGTTTGTTGGGCTACCAGGAGGTGACGGGTGAAGTGATTCAGCTTCACATTCATTGTCATCAGCATTAAAACTCATTTCTGATATTGGAGTATTACCTCGTGATTCCTGAAAAAAAATATTTTATTTTTAGACACCCAGCAATAAACAAGATTGGCTACAAATTGCATCAGATTTTAATAGCAAGTGGAATTATCCATGCTGTTTAGGGGCCATAGATGGAAAGCATATTGCTATTCAACAACCAGCAGATACAGGCTCAGAGTTTTTCAACTATAAGCATTTTTTTAGTGTGATCTTATTGGCCATGGTTGATGCTAATTATAGATTTGTTTATGTTGATGTTGGGGCAGCTGGTAGAGCAGGAGATGCTAGAGTTTTTTCTGAATCAGCTCTGAAAAAAGCACTAACAACAAACTCATTACATCTTCCTGATTCAATAGAATTACAAGGGATATCAACTACGATATCATATCATGTTGTAGGAGATGATGCCTTTCCTTTAAATGCTCGGTTGATGAAACCATACCCATATCGCAATTTGGAGAAAGACAAGCGTATATTTAACTACAGGTTATCACGAGCTCGTAGAGTTGTTGAAAATGCCTTTGGCATTTTTGCTCATCGGTGGAGAGTATTCTTAACAACCATTAAACTATCTCCTGAGAAGGTCACAGACATAATTTTTGCTGCCTGCTGCCTACATAATTTAATGGTTGATAAAAACAAAGCCAGGTACACATCAGCTGTGGACCAAGAAAAAGCAGATCATACATTGTTGAGAGGAGCCTGGAGAAATGAAAAAGCTTTAAGTAGCATACAACCGACCACCCTCCACAATGCACCAAGGGATGCCAAATTACAAAGAGATCTTTTGGCAAATTACTTTAATGGCTATGGATCTGTTCCTTGGCAACACAATATGGTTGTTTAGCCATACTTTCATACGTGTGATGTTCATAATAAAGTGTAAATTATTTCTTTTTAAACTGTTGTATTATTTAACTGTCCAAAACTTCAATACAAACTTACCAAATCAATACTTGAAACTGAAGCTCGCGTTGCAATGTGAGGTGTTAAAAACTGAAGCTTTTCCAGTAGCCATTGAGTTCGTTTTGTCTGGTTTTTTCTTGCACTCCCACTTGGTGGAGGCTTCTTTGCTTTACTAAAGCTATTTCTTAGTGCTCTGATTTTAGCTTTCACCCATTCACCTAACATGAATTTGAAAAATGTTTAGTAACTTGTTATATCCAGATGGTGCTACGCATACCAGTCACATCACCTGCTCAAGAAACATGAAATGACAAATATATATTTTAAAATACCTATATTTTATTTTGGATAGAACAATTTCGATATTTCTCTTACTTGTAGTTGCAAGTTTTTCGGCCAGTTCTTGGAAGGCTTTGTCACGCAATTCTCGATTTTTAAATTCTGGGCAGCGTACATCATAAAGGCAAGGATAATCGGGCCAAAAATCTGCCAATTTATCTTCCAGCATTGCTTCAGCTATTATTGAGCTGTTTGCCGCCATGTTAGTAGTGTAATAATAAAAACAACGCAAACTGCGCATGTGCATTAGCTGTTAAGTGCTGAGCTGCCAACTCAGATTGCGCGCACACTGTGAGGCAATGTTCACTCCTGCCAAAAATATTCAACATGTTGAATATCCGACGCCGCCAGCACGTGTGACCAGAATCACAAAAAACGACACAGCACACTTGAGGAAACGGCTTACGCCAAGAGCTACAAGTGACGTTCAGCTCAGCTGAGAGCTCTAGTGTGCGCCGGGCATTAGGGGTAAGGTTCGCTCGGTTGAGAGCAGAGTTTCTTTTCTAGTCGGTTGTTTAAATACAGGGGTCGTTCCTAATGATGTGACTACTAGGATAGCAAGGAGTAGGGCAAGGCATAGTTTATATATGGAAAGGGCTTTTCTGATAGATGATATTAATAGGGAGAAATGCAAATGTGATTATTTAAAGAGTTGTCTTGTGAGACAAATGGTGGTTGTTAAGGGTTTTCTGTCAAAGTATGATTACATATGGTATTGTGTGTATTTAGGAGATATTAGATTAAAAAAATGGACTGTTGAACTGGCTAACGAAGAGAAATTGAAGCGGCTAACACGCGACAGATACGATCACATCGATGCTGCTGCATCACATGTAACAAATATTTTGTCGTATCAACTCTCTGCAGTCGAATTAGATGTACTATCTAGAGGTCCTAAGTTTGGAATTCCCCCCAGTATGTTAAATAAAGAGGATATATTTTCTGAGTTTGAAATGTTTTGGTCGCAGTTGGGAAAGTTTAGACAAATGATAGCGAAGCAGTGCCGGGCTTTAAGAGTAAACTATCAAGTCTAGCACACGTTTATTCTGAATGCAAGGTTGATTCTAAAGAATTTTCTGTTACAAAAGAGCACATGATCGCACTATCTAATTTGAAAAAGAATAAGAACATTGTTATATGTAAACCAGATAAAGGCTCTCATGTAGTAATTCTAGATGGACAAGATTACAACAGCAAAATGCTAAATATTTTGAAAGACAACAACAAGTTCTGCGGGCTTGGAAAATTGCCAGAGTGCGATAAAACTAGTACATTAGAAAGCATATTGCAAACACTTCTTCTAAACTTGAAAAAATCAAACCAAATTAATGAAACATTTTATAATTTAGTCTGCCCAACGGGGGCAGAGAGACCACATATGTATGGTTTGCCAAAAACTCACAAGGAAGGCGTTCCACTTCGACCAATTCTAGCCAGACAACTGTCAGTGGTACTTTCATCTGTTTTGGAGAGGTTTTCAACATACGCTTTAAAAGACTCTTTTACTTTTACTGATGAGCTTAAACAACAAAATTTTTCAATGTATTCTAATCTAACGATGTGTTCTTTCGATGTAACTAGTCTCTTCACTAATGTGCCCTTAGAAGAAACCATTGAAATTTGTGCTCAAAATCTTTTTTATTCGGACATGACTTTGCCGGACATGTCTGAGAATGCCATTAGAGAACTAATGATGGCTGCCACAAAGGGTATGGAGTTTAGTTCTGATGACAACATGTATAAACAAATTGACTGGGTGGCTATGGGTTCTTCACTTGGACCGGTTCTTGCGAATATTTTTGTTGGCTATCATGAATGCAAAATGCTTGCATCTTCAGATTGTCCGGATGTGCTGTGGTATAAGCGTTATGTGGATGACACCTTTTCCTTGTTTCACAACGATAAAAATCGTGAACTTTTTCTTAATAAACTTTGCTCTCTTCACCCTGCACTAAATTACACCTCTGAACTAGAGTCAAACAATTAGCCTTTTTAGATGTTCTTGTACACAAACGCAATGGTGAGTTATTAACAAGCATTCATCGCAAAGCAACTTTCACTGGTTTGTACACACGCTTTGACTCTTTCTCTTCGCATGGAGAAAAGATTTCTTTAGTGAAGTGTTTGATAAAGCGAACGCATAGATTGTCCTAAAGAGAGTTTATTGATAGTGATCTTATCTCACTGAAGAATATTTTTGTGTTAAATGGATATCCGGAGAAGTTGCTAGACAAACTTTTCTTATCCACTAATAGTGAACAGAATAAACTTTTCGGACCGGCCAAGTGCCCTGTTTTCCTTAAACTTCCCTGGATGGGTAAGGCCTCTAATGACATCGAGAAGGAAACTAAAAATGTCACTGAGAGTTTGTTTTTTGGATGCAATGTGGTCTTTATATTCTCAAAAAGAACTATTCTTCCACCCACTCCCAAAGAGTCTCTTCCTGCTCAAATATCAAGCAATGTAGTCAACGAGTTTAAATGTAAGATGATGCTCGCTATGTAGGTAGGACTTCCCAAAGGTTGAGTGAAAGAATAAAACAGCATGTACCAGCTTCTGTCAGAAATAAAACTGTTCCTTAAACTACCAAAACGGGGATAAAACTACCAAAACGTGGGTGTAAAAGTGAAAATCCGATTCTATGTGATTCAGCGATTGGAAAACATCTTTTAAGCAACACTCGCTGTGCCAATGCTTATTCTGATGAAAACTTTAAAATTATTAAAAAATGTCGCTCGTTATTCCAGCTAGGCGTCATGGAGTCGGTATTAATTAAATTGACTAATCCTGTCCATTGCCGACAAAGGGTTATGTATTTAATCTGTCTCTGTTTTAAGTGTCATCTCTAAAAATAGGGATGACATTGACCTTTTGGAACATTATAAATATAGAACATTTGGAGGTTCTCATTTAGCAGATGTTGATACCTGACGAGTAATATGCCGAAATCCATAGTGTCTCTTTCTAGCTGTAAATAACGATTCCTTTGAATTCTTGGGTTAGTGTTATGGTTAAAACAGCTCTTTTAAGAACTATTACATTGTTATTATCACCATTCGCCATGGTATTTGCTATTTTGAAATATGATATTTAAAATAGACAACAAATTTCTTTATAGCTAACATTTTCAGCATACTTTCTGCCATCTTCAGGGCGAACGGAATAAATATAGGAAGTTTACATGATATGTTATAGTGATAAAGCGGAAGTATTGAACAGTTATGAAAATTATTTAAAGTTGAATAAGGTGTTATAAAATGTATGTGTTAGGTTTTATCAAAGAAAAAACTCACAAAGAAAATGAATAATATCTGATAAAGTAGTAATTGCTATTTACAGGTCAAAGATAGTGTTAAGATGTTGTATTTGTTTGTTGAGGTTAGGTTTACGCTTCTTGATAAAAAGAGCTTCTCTGAGTTTAAGGGCAAAAGTGTGAGCTGTGTCTAAGATAAGGAAACAGGATTGTGTGTAATTGTTTTTGCAGTGTTGTGACGAGAATAAGTGTCTGAATATGTCCGTGGTTTCTGTGTTCTTTAATCTGTGTGGAAAGGTGGCTTGTGGTCTTCCCAATGTAACTGGAATCACACCCAGCACAAGAAAATTTATAAACCACATTGGATTTTAAAAGAGTGGGAATAGGATCTTTGAAGTTTTAAAGTGAGTTTTGAATTTGAAAGATGAAAAAACTAGTTTGATGTCTGTGCAGTAGCGTTTTATTCATCATCATCATCATCATCATCAGCCGTTCACGCCACTGCTGGCAGATGGCCTCCACAACTTCTTCCACTCGATTCGGTCTGTAGCTCTCCTCATCCAGGTCTTTCCAGTTTCCTCTTCGATCTCGTCTCTCCATCTTCTCTTTGGCTTTCCTCTTCCTCTGGTGCAGTTTCTTGGGTACCATTCTGTTGTCAATTTGGCCCATCTGTTGTTTTCCATTCTTGCCACATGGCCTGCCCATCTGCCTTTCATTTCTTTTGCTGTTTGGATGACATCTTTCACCCTGGTTCTCTCTCTGATTACTTCATTCCTGATCTTGTCTTTTAGCCTGATATTTAGTATGCTCCTCTCCATGCTCCTTTGTGTGACTGCCAGCTTCCTTGATTGGTGTTTTGTGCCCATGTTTCTGCTCCAGATGTCATAGATGGTAAAATAACAGTGTCCATTATTTTCCTCTTCAAACTGTTTGGGATGTTCTTCTCCTTTAGAAAGTGACTGTATTGCCCGAATCTTCTCCATCCGACATTGATTCTTTGATTGACCTCAACACTGATTTCATTTCTTGGTGTTAACATTTTTCCAAGGTATTTGTACTCCTCCACCTCCTCCAACTTCTCTCCATCAACTGTGATCCCTCTTCTTTGCTTCCTCCTTGCGATGTCATTGCACATGATCTTGGTTTTTTTCTTATTCATTTTCATACCATCTTTCTTTCCTTCTTCATTCAGTTTCTTCAAAAGTTCTTGGAGATCTTCCTCTATGTTTTCAAACAAGATGATGTCATCTGCGAATCTTAAGTTGTTCATTACTCTTCCGTTGATGTTGATCCCTTTTTCCAATGGTATTCTTTTGAAGATCTCTTCAATGGCAGCTGTGAACATGATAGGTGACAGTGTATCTCCTTGGCGGACACCTTTCTTTATCTTGATCTTTTCGCTCAGCTTTTCTGTTCTTATTTGTGCTGTGCCTTCTCTGTATGTTTCCTTTATGCTGTTTATGATCTTTCCTGGTACTCCGTGTTTCTCAAGTGATTGGAATACTGGGGCATGCTTGATGGAATCGAATGCCTTTTCGTAATCTACAAATGCCATGAACAGTGGTTGTTGGTACTCGTTGGTTTTCTCGAGTATTTGTCCTGTAGCATGCAGGTGGTCTGCAGTGGAGAATCCTTTCCTGTATGCTGCTTACTCTGGGGGTTGATATTCATCCAGAGTGCCACTGATTCTGTTCTTGATGATTTTCATGAACAACTTGTAGATGTGGGATAGCAAACTGATGGGGCGGTAGTTTGCAAGATCTTTCTTGTCTCCCTTCTTGAAGAGTAGAATAATGATGGTGTTCTTCCACTCTTTTGGCACTTTTCCCGTCTCAATGGCTTTGTTGTAAAGATGCTGAAGTTTTTCCATTAGGATGTCACCTTCGGCCTTTATCATCTCTATCACCACAAGATCTTCACCGGTGATTTTCCGTTTTTCATCTGATGGATTGCTTTCTCCACTTCACATTTCATGATTACTGGAGTCTCTTCTGCTGGTCTCAACTGAATGTTTTGGGAGGGATCTTCGTACAGTGCCTGATAGAATTCTGCACATCTCTCGAGGATTCTTTTTCTGTCTGTTGTTACCTTTCCATCCTTCTCCTTCAGTGCTTGAATCAGAGCCTTCTTTCCATCTCCTGTTGTGCTCTTTTTCAACCCTTTGCCACTTTCAACTGCTTCTCTGATTCTCTTGGTGTTTGCTTCTCTCAGATTTTGTCTTGTTTTCTTCCTGATTGTCTTGCACAGTTCTGAACATTCTATCTTTTCTCTTGTTGTCACTCTTTTCATTTCTTAAGCAAGGCTTTGGTATCTGACTTCAGCTTTTCCTCTTTCCTGTTCATCACTTTTCCTGCAACCTTCTCTGCGCATCGCTTGATGGTATTGCTTAGTTGCGCGGCGCTTTCCTCAACGTTGTCAATCTCGTTTCCTAGAATTTCAAAATGGTTGCTTAATTCAATTTGAAATTCTTCCCTCTTCTGAAGCAGTCCTTTGATGTTGATTACGTGAATAGAAATTCAAAGCTATGAAGCTGCCAGAATTAAAAAGTTACCTGCAAAGTAGAGGAATAACCGTAAGTAGTTATCTGAAGCCAGGACTTGTAGCCATTGCATGAGCAGTGGAAAAAATGAACATTCCATTGATCCCACAAGTCAGTAAAGCCAAACAGCAAGTAATTTTAAGATGTCATTTGACCATCCATGACGTTGAGATGCATTTACAATTGTTTTAAATGATTTGAAAAATTCTCCCCTGTTCAGCTTGTTTGATATATTTAATCATCTTTTATATCATTCATCAGAATATGACAAGCAGGGTCTTGCAGCCTATAAGTTGTTCCAGAACTATCGTTTGTTTTACGATGGATAAGTCTTTGCTAACAGCATACAGGCAAGATGTTGGGGTCCATGTTTATGTAGGCAATGTCAAGCCTACAATTAAAGAAATGACTAAAGATGGTAAAGACGTTTACGATTTATGGTTTATATTGGTGGTAGAGATGGTGGATGTAAGCATGTATCACCTTGTATTCTCTTGACGACCTGCTACATTCTAGAGGAGAGAATAGAGTTACAAGTAAGGAGCGTAAATGGATTCAAAAATCAAGGCCTGATACAGCATCGTTCAAGCTAGAAGATCTTCAAATAAAAAAGTGGGACTTAAAGATCAAGAATAGAAAAGAAAAAAGATGAAGCATATACGTACAAGCAACACATTGACTATGACCCACGTCCATTTATGGATAGGGGACCCTGTTCACATGAACAACTTGTTAGTGTAATAAATTCCAAGGATGAAATAAAGAAGAAACCACCTATACTATCAATTTTGAAGAAATAACTGTATGGCATGGATAAAATTCTGGAAGAACATAAAGAATTACATAAACAATCATCCAAGCATGGAATAATGGAAAAAAAGGTAATGCAACACCTGAAAAGCAATCACCAAGTAAATGCAGACGGCTTTTTAGAAAGTATAATAAGTCTTTATAACTGTCTCGAAAGCTAAAAATATTTACACAAGGTAGACTTCTACTGAGAAACTTCAGACAGATGTATCTGCTCTCTTAAAATTGCTCACAGAACAAAAAGATGTTCCAACAAAGAGAAAACATTTGGCAGGTGATCCTAAAAATCCACTCGATTGAGGACTGAAACATGAGCAAAGTGCTGGGAGAGCTTACTATAGTGTTCAAGCAAATAAACATAAACAACTTAGTTTAATTTCAAAAGGCTTCATGATTTCAAAAGATACACCTTTTCTTGGTCCCAAAGAGACATTCCTGCAGCCTAAGATTGGTGGTAGATGGGAAAATGGCAAATTTTTTCTGCAAGAAAAGTCTCGTTACTTTTACAAAATTCAAGTGCTCATGCATGTTGCTGGACTGAAAGTGTGATTTACCAGTATGGACAGCAAGAGAAACTTTCTGCCACCAAGTGATATATGCTCCAATGTTTTTTGAAAAGATTTGTCTTAAGCTTAAACGATTTTGGCTTACCAAGGTTGTGCCACACATGTTCAAAAAATTGTGCATTTTGAAGAAGGTATCTTCTGAATGTACAAACGGTAAGCATTTAATTTAAGTGTTAAATTTGCAAATTTACTTGAAGCTAATTTGCATTAATGTTGCTTATGATAGGTTCCATAAGGATAAAGTATGGTCATAAACAAAATCCTGTGATCAAAGATGAAAAAAAGGGTAAAAAAACCTTTTTTTTTATGCAAAACAGGTATCACATATCAAGTATCGCGTGGTTTATTAAGAACCAGGCCGTTTTGACACGCTCCTCAATTTTTTCGTTAATATCTTTAGATGATAAAGTAACCATCTTGGAAAAAGAAAACAATGATCTGCTGATGAAGTCTGTCATCTTATTTGGGTTTGGTGTGTGAGAAGAAGACATCGACAGTCTACAACAAAAGGGATTTATCACAGACACAATCTTCTCTATATTAATGAGGTATATTCTTTATATCCAAGATTGATTGATTTTAAAATAGAAAATAGGATGATTACACTACCAAAGTAAATTTACTAATCCAGGTAATAAATAAATGGTTTGCAACCGGGAGTATTTTAACATTTTTCTAGATGTAGATTGTCCTAGATGACCGGGAGTATCGTCCAACCATTTACTTTATTACCTGGACGACCTACATCTACAAACATGTAACGATACTCTCGCGTTCAAACCATTTACTTTAAATTTACTAATGGTAATGAACTGTATAATTTCAATTCTAGTGATCATTGCTGTGAATACCCCATAGTACACACTTTATTCTATTCTGTTCTTGTGGGAGATCAAGAACTGAAAGTGAGAACATCAAGCAGTTTAAGTAACTGACAATGATTTTGCCCTTATCTTTCAAATATTCTACTTTTATACATTGTATTTAATGTTTATAGAGTAGAAAGAATCCAAGCAGCAGAACAATTTTTTAGTGCAAAGTTACTTGAAAAAGATTATGTGTTAGTGCCAATCAACAGAACGTGAAAATGCTTTAGACAACAAATGCAGCATGTTTTGCAAAAAAAATGTACAAAAATTTTTTATTCCATTAATTTACCCTACCCTGGTTTTTAGCCATCATTTCACCATGGTAGGAAAAGCAACATTTGCTATATTTCATGTGTTCCTTTAAAGCATATAATGTTACAATAGTAACCAATTTCATGTTTAGGCATATTCTTGTTCTGGACCCTTTAACCTGGGATAAAGCAGATAAGAAATCTACATTTAAACATATTTCACAGTAATTTTTTTCCATTGCACTATGCCTATGTCATTGCTAAGTTACTGTTGGATTAGAATTTTTACTTTTTCATTCAGAAGATATTTGGACTACACATTTGAAAATCACAACATCAAAAGAAAGCATCGTTCTTATCATAAGTTAAAGGTGAGCGCTTAAACCTTATCATGCCACCAATAAAATATATTGTGCAAATAAATCTTGCAATATGCATATTTGGTAGATCTCAAAGCAGGAAATCTCTTCAAATCTCTGCGCTGTTTTTGTATCATTTTTTATTAAATACTTTTTGAAGGTATTTATGGAAACTACATGTTTCTTCAAATTAGAGCTTAATACTGGCATTCTGGAATTCTGCGGAAAAAAAACGTGAATTCCGTGGAATTTTTGAAATCAGTTCCGCAGCTATAAATCCAAATTCCGTGACCAAAATAACAAATTCTGCGGGATATAATAAAACAAACAAAACTATTCTTTATCAAATTGCTAGTGTGTAAAACTGGTCTATTTTTAAACAGTGCCATGTGGTAAAATTTACATTACTTATACGTAACTATGTTTAACCGTAACAAGCACCAAAAGTTGTAAATGAAGCACTAAAAGTGATAATGTCCCCTACTGTCTGTAACAGGGCATTTTAAAATTTCTACAATATCAACAATATTAATCCAGCACTCGTCGTCGATTTCCGCCAAATAAAATAGAATGCGTTGCCAGAAGCCTTTACCTCCTTCAAAAAACGAACCTCGATTTCTTCTAGTTCTTGGTCTATATTCAGTATAATCCCACAGAATATCTTTGAACCGCTAGCTCTTGATGATGTAAACCTTACACGAACATACATTCCGATTGTAATATTGGAAAGTTTAATTGGCCCAATGCCCTGTTCATCTCTGCTTGCACCAGACGAAATTTCCTTTATTTTGTCCATACTAGTGCACTTATGTTCACTTCTTTTCTCTTTGCTGGTACCTACATTGAGATTCTTCAACTTTCTTTTGTTGCTGATTTTTTGTTTTGACTTACTCTGAATACCACTTCCGGCATTGCAAAGTTTACAGTTATGAAGTACACTACTTGATGTTTCCTGAATGGAACAATAGGATGGAAAGGTGCAAATAACTCTTCTGCATTCACTGCATTGGTGTCCATATGAGACCTCTTTCTGACAAAGATAACAATATTTCAATTCATCACCTGACTTCTGTTTTAGTGCGTTTTTAAGAGACATGCGTTTTGTTGCACCGCTGGAACTAGAAGCAATGGAATGGGGTGTATCTTTCTCTTGAGAACTGACTGACTTAATCTGCAAACTTTCATTGCCGGAACTGGAAGCAATGTTATGGGCGGTACCTTTGTCTTGATAACTATTGGGGCTTGTCGATTTTGTGGCAAGGTGCCAAGAAACTTTCTTGACATGTGTTTGTTGAGGACTTTCATTTTCCTCGTTAATGGAATTTTTCACCCTCAAATTCCAGTTAAGGAAATGTAATGCTTTGAGAGTTTGCTCATTTAAATTCCTTCTCTTCTGATCAAGAATGGAATTATATGTGCTGAATGACCTTTCAACATCGTATGATCCCAATGTTCCAGTGCAATAGTGGGAAGCAAGCTTGTAAAGTTCTGGAAGTTCATGTGCATGGGATTTCCAAAACAGCTTCAGGTCTACCTTACCTTGTGGACTTTCTGACACAGCAGCAGGTCCGAATATATCAACATACTTATGCCATTCTTCATCGGAGACACTTTCTTTGAATCCAGGAATATTGGTGTATGAACTGTGTAGCTTTGATGAAGAGACTATGTTGCGTGGTTCAAGTACTTTGATTTCCTTGATACTTTGATTTCCTTGATTCCCTAATAACTTTGATAATGGTTGTCCTCCATTAACAATATACTTCTCGAGTTTTGCTTCTGCTTGCTTGAAAGCACTTACAAACTGTTTCTTCAAATCATCCTGGTGATCTATCTCCAAATCATAAAACGATTTTGAAAGATCATTAGAATCCACTGTAATATTTTGCCTCAAGTAGTCCAGTAGCTGATTCATTTTTACATAGGACTGAGTAATGTGAGGAATCTTCATTTGAAAGTAATCAAGATATATAAGCAAAGATGGTGCTTTCATCTTAATGAAGTCAAACTGAGCTTTCAGTTTCAATAAGTATGTCTCATCTTCGTATATTTCTCCCAATCTTATCAAAGAATTGGATGGTTGATCCGAGACTTCAAGCTCTGCTGATATGAAGCTACTATAGTGCAAAAACGGTTTGCGTGATATAGCACAGAGTCTAACCAAGCACTCCAGCTTTTTGTTGTTGGGTTAGGAGGCATACAGACAGACTCCTCTTCAGTAGAGACTTTTTTCAAAAAGTTTAGAAACCTACTTTTTCTGCCACTTGGAATGTAAAACAAATTTCTGAAACATTTAACAAACTCAGTTATTTCAGAAAATTTTTTCTTGAAGTCTGAAACAACGAGATTAACAACGTGTCTATGGCAAGTAATGTGCACACAATTTGGAAAAATAACCGAAAGTGTGGACAGAAATGCTTTCTTCATGTATGCCACGTTATCAGAATTAAAAATGAGCACATTATAAAACGAAATATCATACTCATTTACGACTTTGAGCACTGTCTGGGACACTGTCACATTGTTGGTGCTGGTCAAAAAATGTGTATCCAGTAAATAAGCTCAAGTATTGCCATGAGGAGATAGTTCATCAAAATCAAGAATAACAGCCAGGACATCCATTACATAGCGTCCCTCATCATCGCTCAGCTGATCAGTCAATATAGCGACTTTTTTACCGTTAAATTTTTGCTTCAATTCCTCTTTCTCTACAACATATACATGAAGAAGATACTCATCTCGCAGTTGAGAGGATCCAGGAATAGCACCGCCATTTTTTACCCTTGTGGTCAAGAACTCTCTTAGATATGCGTTATCAGATTTTAATAGCGGAATATTTGCCGCAGTGCATGCATATATCCATTCTTGACAAACCTTGATTTTCTCTGCCTTTGCATTGTTAGAGAATTTCAGTGCTGTTTTGACAGACTGCTGCTTTCCAAAAGAGTTTGCTTTGGCATGACTCTTTGATTTTAGGTGGTCATCGACAGTGGATTTCCTTACATGATCAATTACGACATTGCACTTTGAACAGAACAACAGACCATCATCCACATAAAAAGTTCCTGACGGATATTTACTTGCTCGCTGTTTTGCATCTATATTCACAGAAAGGTGTGACTTTGTCTTTGGATGAGGAACTTGGTACAATTTCTGTACAACAAATTTATCCATCCGCAAAGCTTACATTGAGTGATCTTCGCTCGTATAAACTGCCGCCATTTTTTCCTCGTATTTAATTTAAATAAACTACGTGAACGGAAGTGAAACGGAACGGAAGTACTTCCATTTTGTTTAAAATTTTACAGACATAGCAACTAGCAAAGGCAACGCACTAGTGTTGTTTCGCTCCAGACTTCATTTAGAAGACCATATAATTTGTAAGTTCAGGGAATAATTTTTAAAAAAACGTGTAAAAATTAAAATTCCGCGATATTCTGCGAATTTTGATCGATTCTGCGAAATCGCGGCACCGCGGAATTCCAGAATGTCTGTTAATAATAGGAAAGATATACTCAATGCAATGACATAGGGAAGAGTGCTTACTTTTTAATCTTACAGAATTTTTTAGGATATTAAAAAAGAATGAGAAATGTAACAATGATTTCATTGTCATGAACATAAATAGTTCAGTAACAAGGATGCCACAAGGGAAAGAAATAAATGGCACAGAACTTTGCACACATTGTTTACTCTGCATTAATCTAAATTTATGTCTTACACATTGGAATATTTTGTTATATATATGTTTTAAACTTCTATATACAATGTTTTTATGTGATGCAATAATCTGTGGTTGCAAATTAACCAATGCTGCACAGACAAACAACAGAATCAATATATGGTTTCATTGTTAATGGGATTACACATTGAAATATACCAAATGACTCTAGTCGTTGAATAATTCTTTCAATGAGAATCCTCTTTGTAGCCACTTTCCTTGTCATTGTTGTTGCACCAGTGCCAAGAGCCAACATTACATTTATGCATATTTGGAGGTGAAATTAAACGGACATGTTGAAGGGCAAGTAAATCCTGGATATTGAATCCTTTGTCAGCCATGACTTCCCTGCAGCTAGCTCTTCCAAAAATTCACATGTCTTGGTGATTTCGTTGTCGCTTATCTAACCACTGAACAAAGTAGAGATATAGTTGATATGTAGAAGAGGTGACATGGAAATAAATAGGTGTTTCTGCCCTTGAAGTTATTATGTGTCCGACGTTGACTTGAAGGAAGAAAAGGTTTTTGCCACACATCAGCATAGATATGAGGCATAAACAACGTAATACAGTAGATAGTAAAATTGAGTGATCACAGACATCAATTATACATATCTCATTTGGCGACAAAACACATGGAAGTCAGTTCGATCGATTCATATTGTTTATTTTGCACTCTCTATGGTCACAGTGCTCCGGTGAGAGAAATGTTATGTAAACATGTATTTATTTTCTTTCGAGCTTTTATAGGCCCGTTTACAAGGTAATCAATTTTGGCAGGGTACTCCAAATTTTACATACGCGAACCTGTTTTCTTGAGTGCAGCTCTCCTAATTTTTCTCGTGTAAACGGATAGCAGGCATAAAATTTAAGGGCCGGGTGCCTTGAAATTTTAGCGTGCCGGTACCTCCGAAAGAGGTAGTCTCGGCCCGTTAAAAAAGCGGCACCGTGCCGAGTTTTTGGCTTTCTCAGCAAAATGAGCATTAATAAGCGCGAAAAGGAAATGGCGGGAATTAAAATAAACAAAGATGGCGGCGACACCAAAATGCATGAAATGGAGTGATGAAAAAACAAGAAGTCTAATAACTCTTTGGTGCGACGAAAATATACGAATTGCATTGGGTAATTCGAAAGGATCCAAAGATAAAAGCAAGGTTTACAAGTCCTTACTGGTAAGCCATTTTATCGTGATATCAGACATATTGTATTAGCTTCGACTGTGAATCGACTTGTATAGATTTCACATATGCTGTGCACTGGCGTTAGTGGAACGTTAATTGGCGGACCATATTCATGTATTCTGCTATGCTAAGCTCTTTTTTTTTGAAAGTTGTATCCTATTCAAAAGAAATTAGCTAGGCATAGTAGAACATATGAATACTGCACCTTTTAATAGTTCATTGATGCCATTGAGGCTGTACGTTTACGTATCAATAACCTTTATTTATTGACAGTGCGTGTTATTGTAAGTTGTTCATTTACAACTTATATTTCCTACATAGTAGGAATTAGTTGCCACGAACGCATTACTATTTTGCTTGGTTCAATGCATTATTGTTATTTAAAAAGGTGCAATATGTTATTCACTTTAAAGGAGCAATTACAAGAAAGAGGCTATGAAGATATTACACTAAAAGAAGTAATTAATAAAATTAAGAAATTGAAGCAAAAATATAAAAGTGAAAAAGACAATGCTAAGAAGAGTGGGAATGGGAGAAAAAAGCCATGGAAATACTTTCAACAGTTGGATAGATTTTTATCCCAAAGACCTAATGTTACTCCAGTGGTTTTACTTGATATCATGGCTCAGGCTAATAGTCAAAAAAATAGTCAGTCGGACATGCTGAGAGATGATGTTGATGATGAAAATGATGACATCATTAATGGTATTATTTTAAAATGAAATGTTTTCACATTTTGCTCAATGATGATAATATGATCTTGTCACAAAACATTTTTCTTTTAATCTTAAAGATATTGTCAGTAAGTATGGTAGAGGTGATAAATCCATCAAAAATACCAGACATGTGATTATGAAAAAGTTATCTATAGTGATGGAGTCCACACAACAGAGAATGGATGTATGATGGTATACTGTGAAGAACAATTTTCTTGCCCAAATTGTGACAGTTCAAATGAAACATGTAATATTTGTATGGAAGACAATTTCTGTTTGTTATTTTATCAAAACAAGATATGTGCTCCAGCTATTTACTAATTGTTTTTCAAATTAATTAAACTTTAGTTAATGTGGAAGTAAATCAACAAACTGTAGCTGAGAATTGAGCTATTGAATATGATAAAGGGAATGACAAACCAAAGCCAGACTTAGGAGAAAGAGTTTCGGAAACACTTACATACTAGGAAAGAAACAAAAGAAAAAAAGGAGTTCTATTGAAAAGAGCATGGATGCTGTCCTGGAACAATTCAGGGCAATGTCAATTGATGATTTTGAAAGGTATATTCACCTTCTTTAAATATTGCTTGTACGTTTTGTATTTTTGGTAAAAAATACCAGAAACTTTTGATTTGGACATCTATCCCAGATGTATTCAGCTTTGACCATGTCTGTCACAATCATTATTTGATTATAATTTTCTAGGTATAAAAAGCTTGAAGAGTTTAAATTGGAAAAAGAGCAGCACTTTCAATTAGAGCAAATGCGACTCGAGAATGAACGAAGAAACCAGGAAAGAGAGCATGAGCTAAAGATTTTCCAATTTTTATTTGGTAACCAGGCTACCCAGAACATGCAATCTACTGGCAGCTCATCACTAATGTTTGCCCAACCATATGTAAGTTTTCAACAACATACATTTGGAAATGGCTGCACCAGTATCCAAACTCCAGGCTGTAGCTTCGTAGACAGCAATGATGAAGAAAAAACATATTTCAGGTTATGATTTAAAGTATTTGAAAAGTATTTATTTTTAAGTACTTATGCTCACTTGAGTCTTTTAGTTCTGTTTTGAAGTTATATTTGTGGAACTGTTTAATACTATCTGAACATTAAATACAATCTTTGTACACTCATGAATCTTATGTTGTATGTTGCAATAATTAATGTAATTAAACGTTTTGAATAATTCATTGTGAGTCAAAATAGTCAGCTAATACTTCTCGAATGTCTTCACCTTCGTTCTCAATTACATCACTGGTTGGTACCACAAGTTCTTGATCAACGTTTTCTTCCCATTGCAGCAGAAAGTTGTTATTTTGCACTTCACAAATATTATGCAAAATGCAAGATGCCAACACAAGAATCACCAAATTCTTCACATTCATATCGACCCGCTTACTAAATATGATAAAGCGGCCTTTCCATCTGCCAAATGTGTTTTCGACTGTCATTCGCGCTCTGCTTATACGATAGTTGAAGACTCTTTGTTTTCTAGTTAAAACACCTGTAAGAGGATAACCTTTTAAGAGCCATGGCAGCAATGGGTACGCAGGATCCGTCAATATGACTGGGGATAATTCTTCTCTGTTTATTTCTTTCTTAAGATCAGGGGGGAACAGTTTACCTTAGTTGCCTTGCTTGGAAATAGCAGAATTTGAGAAAACCTGTGCGTCATGAACGCTACCAGGCCATCCAATGACAACAACACGAAACAAACAATTACAATCAACACAAGCTTGCATGATTATACTGTGAAAACCTTTTCTATTCATGTAATCTTCATGGCTCTCAGCGGGTGCAATTATTGGAATGTGAGTACCGTCTATTGCCCCAACACACATAGGAAAACCCCATTTTCGGTAGTATCCATCAATAACTTGATGTATGCCTTGTCCACGTGGAAATGTAATAAACTTTGACATTTGTTTTGTAATAGCACGACTTACATCTGATGCATATGCACACAAACGATCCAGAAACTCCAAATAAGTTTGCTATTGTTTTATATTCCGCTGTGGACGCAAGGTAGTACAACGTAAGCGCAAGTTGTCTCTTCGCCGTTATTGCTAATCGTATGGGAGTATTTTTGTGCAGTATGTTATACCTAACTTCATTTAAAAGAAAATTGAATGTTTCTTTTGTTACTCTGAAATTTGTATACCAAAGGTCATCGTCAAAATCCGAATCAACCATATCAAACCAAGCAAGTGATCGTGGGTGCATCCATAATGCCCTCGTTCGAAGACTGTTAATAGCTATCAAAATCGCATTCATGAAAAAAAGTAGAGATTTACTCCTTGCATCAGTCCATGACTTGCTTTTCAGGAGTTTTTTCCTGTCCTTTTTTTCTTGAAATTTGTATGCTTGCGGATATAAATCAACCATACCAAATATTTATTCATTTTATTTAGATTATTGAAAGGCACCATTTTGAATAAACCGCCAAATTGACGTCATTTACAGCAAAATGACCCGCTAACAATTGGAGTACCCTGAGGAAATTTACGGCCTGTCAAACAGAAAATTTGCTCGTGTAAACTCAAATCAAGTGCTGTAAAAATGAGTTTGCGTGCCTAAATTTTGGAGTACCGTGTCAAAATTGATTACCATGTAAACGGGCCTTATGATTACAAAAAAATCGGTGTGGATTAAACAAAACATCCAAAATCACAAAGAATTCATTAAAACGCAGGTGCGAGTTTAATCAAAAATACCATTAAACGTTTGCTCTTTGCGATGACTCCGCATTCAAAGATTAAACAACATTTAATCGAAGTCACACAGAATTGTTGGCAATAAGATCCTATGAAAATGTTATAAAGGAAATAGTGGAAACAAAACTACAGTTATAGAATATTGTCTGTTTCTACATATGTTTCTACATAGTCGCTGCTGATGCTTTCAAATCGAGCTACACTTGAAATCAATTTTATGGCGATGTATTGGCGTATTCTTCAATTTTTTTCTGACAAACTATAGTCACAATGATTTATTTCATAAATAGTTCAAAAAAGTTGATGCAACCTCCGCGATTTGCTAATAATTGGGAGATATTAACTTGGACCACATATTTTCTAATACAACGCCATATTGATTCTCACTACTTTGGGGCTCCGGAAGTAAATTTGCCCGGCTTCAACTTTTATGTCAGTTGCACTATCTAGTGTATTATTAGATCTGTGACGCCAATGATGACGTTAAATACATCAAGGTGGTTGAGAAGGTGTTGGTGCAGCTAAGCGCAGTGCAGCCTTCACCAAAGCAGCAGTTGCAGGAAAACCCCTGATCATTCAGAATGATAAAAGCAAGAATGCTATCACAAAGAGAAAGAAGAAAGCCTGTAGAACAAGGTGGCTGTCTACTGATATGGCAATTAAAGGAGTGTTCGAAGACTTTTTGCCTTTGATACAAACCCTCAAACTCTACAAAGAACTGGAAAACGACAGTACAGCCATTGGCCTACTCAAGCAAACAGCAAATATCCAGTTTCTGTCTGCTGTCTATCTTTTACACACGGTCCTACCTGCCCTTTCCCATCTGAGCAAAGCTTTTCAGCGAGGAAACGTATCATTTTCAGCCATCCATTGATTACACGCTCCATCAACTTTCTGAGATTGCTGCCAAGAAACCTTTGATTTGAGAAAAATACAAATGGACTTGAGTGATTACTTTGACAGCTACAATAGAGTCTTACTTAGAAAATCTTACAGTGAAATGTGTAGACTCTCTGAAATATGTAGTGCAGTACGAAAAAAAATCAGATTTGTCTTTCAAACATATGGGATTGCAGAAATCAAAATATTAGCCTCTTATTTTTATCAGGAAGTTGATGCAGATCAACGTGATAAAGCCGAAGAGCTAAAATGCTAATGGAAGAAATTCAAGTACAACTTGCTTCAACTCAAAAGTGAGATACCCCACCACATTCTACATCTTCCTAACAATAGAAATCTGTCTTTTGCAACTCCAACAGAGTGGGCTCTTCATCAAATGTTGTCTTAGCGAGCAATGTACGCGCACTTTATGTCATCACTGCTACAGATTGTACATGTTTGTTTGTCTCTTCCTGTGTTCAATGCCTGGCCAGAAAGAGGTGCTTGGGCTCTTAAACAGATAAAAACTTGTCTGAGGCGTTGATGCAAGCAGGGGTGGATCCAGGCTGGTGCAACTGATGCAAGTGCATCAGTTATAAAATTGAATAGTTAATATTTCACAACATTATAACTTACAATCAATACAAGCAAAATGCAAGAAATATATCAGATTGGAATGCTTATAGTTTCTAAATGCTTTAAATACCTTAATGCTGACAATATATCGACAACAGATGTACATTGATGATTAAAGGACATTGGCAACGAAAATTTTTATGGCATAGTTTTGAACCTTTGTGATGTCTAACAACTAAAATAGAAAAAATTTTTCTCAAAAATATTTTGTTGCTGAGATATTTTCAGCAAAAGTTTTATAAATTGCGCCATCTTGGATGAAATTTTGATAAAATTATCTCGAGCGGTAGTGACGTCATTGGCTGGCGAGCAGTCAAAACAACAATACAATATACTTTGTGATTGACTGCGTTACAACACATTTAAAGCGTATTTTACGGGGTTTTTTTGCTGTAATGGATGGCATACACGAAAATCAACCGGGTGAGGTTCTGCCCTATCAATATGAACCTGAAGTGAAGACCGAAACTAGTGAAGAAAGCGGTTCCGAACAGGAGAGCGAGCAGAGCGACTTGTCCTCGTCGGAGGATGAAATACATGCTGAATTTGAGAAAGCAAATGCTTAGCGCCTTCAAACTCTTAGTTGGTGTAAGTGTGGACATTGTACTTTGTCAAAAAAGGCAATCGAGTGTTTTTGTTGCCGCGAAAAAGCGCTTGAATACGATGAGTATGAGGCTTTGCTAGGCCAAACAGAACCTCAAGGGTTGCTTGACAACACACCAAGAATTTAGGGACAATATGCTGTCAGAAAGTGTGTTAAAGATAGACGTGTGTCGGCATCTTGAAGAAAACTGGCCCCTGTCTGATGAGGATCTAGAGAGAATACACAAGCTGTATCGATTAGTTGCCTATCAAAGATGTTCTAGGTGGATTTTTCAAATTTGGGGGAAGAAACATCGAAGACCATTTCCTGCTTGTGTTTATGCTAGCATACGAAAACGCTTCGCGTCACCAGACGGACTTTATACACATTTTAAAAACGCATGTTATCACGAAAGACCGTAAATTCAGTCTTAGACAGATGCTCTTTGATGTTCTTTGTTATGATCTGCAATTGCGATGCCATATCATTGTCAAAGGATTGTCACGAACTGCGCAAAAGCAAAATGCATGAGTGATCCACCCAAAACTTGTATTCATTCATAAGTTATAAAGTTAATCGAAAAGTGTACTTGTACATTGTGCACGCAAACATGCACGTAAAACATTACGGATAAACGAAACTCTACAGTCTAGAACAAAACATAGCGGCTTAGAGCTTATCACCTATATAAAACTACATAATCTTTCAAAGACTCTTATGTCTACAAATAATAAATTAAACGTATAACTCATTTGTTGGTCACAGGTTTGTAATATGGGAAAATGAAATATTTCTATTGCACGAAACGTTCAGTGTATAAAACACGCTTGTTGTTGTCTGGGCTTACATTTGGTATGTCGGCAAAACCTAGTTGTTAGATCTGCTAAAATAAACGTTTCTACGTCTTATAACGACTAAATATTGGAAAAGTATATAAGCGTGATAAACTACACAACTTTTGTTAATCTTAACAACCGCCGACTGTTGTTTTTGTTTTAAAATTCCAGTGAACAAATGTGCTATATATTATTATAATACTATTATTTTATATTGTGTCATTCAGTGGATACCAGCCAATGACGTCAGTAATGTATTCTGGCATAATTTAGCATAAGGCTTTTTTTTCAAAATGGCGGATAAGGATTCAACTTTATGTCAAATTTTCTCAACAGCAAAATTCAAAAGAGACACGAAAACACGAAATTAAGTATTCCATAGCTATCTATGATAAACGTATGAAAAAAAAATTGTCGTTGCCAATGTCCTTTAAGAAATATTGTTTAAACCCTTCGTAGATTGTTTACATGTGAGTATCATTTTGATTATAGCCGCATTATTAAAAAATGCGTCGCTAAATATGGCGTTTTTAAGTGTCGAA